AAATATTTTTTAAGATTAAAATATAAATAAAAAGTAATCCTTTAGTAAAATAAGTTTCAAATGTGTGATCTATGTGAATACATATAACATTTTGTATCGTGCTGTCGGAAGAAACTTTTTTCAGACTTTTGTACCAATTTATTAGTATTAATCATTAATTACACTTTAATTACCTATATGTTAAGTCAATTCATAAAATGAAACTTAATTATTAACATAAGCTTTTTTAAAATAAGGTCCCTGCCCTCTCTTTTGAAAGAAAAAAAAAAAAAAAACAATGAAACATGAAAAGCCTAATAAAACGCATCGAGGTTGGGTTTTTCTGGAAAAACCCGGGTTTTTTGAAACCCTGCCTGCTTTAAAAATCTGGTTCATTTCAAGCAGACTTGCTGATAAGCAAGTGGCATAAGTAACATTAACAACTACATAAAGACATTAATGTTAAAAATTTAGATAGTAAAAAAATACCATAGAAATTTGTTCAATTGATATCCCTTATAGCTTAATAAAAATTTATAAGATCCTATATAAGCCTTGTTCCAAAAAAAATCCAAATTCACCCACCTGACCTTAATCTTTATAATCACTTAACCATACTCACTCATTTAGCTAAGGTGAATTTTAATCAATTAATGGGTTCAAAATTGATTAAAATTGAATAATGAAAAATTGAATTGAACTTCGATAGATTTTGAAAAGCGCACAGCAGAAAATTAGTGGAATGGTACTGGTTATTTTCAAGCATACGCAAAATACTAAAAAAATGGTAAAAAAGGAGGGAGGAGAATCACGAATCTGTGGAAAAATCTCAAGTTTGCTGAAATATGATTTTTTAAAAAAAAAGTTATCCTTAGATGAAATGAGATATTATGCTTAATTTAATAAACCATTATAACTTCTAAACCAAACATAAGCACTTATTCTTAGCAATAGATAGAAATAAAAAGTGCTCTTAGCAATATTCCAAAATAAAAAGTGTTCTTAGCAATAGACAAGAATAAAAAGTTTCTTTGCAATAGCCAAAAATAAAAAATGCTCTTAGCAATAACCAAAAAATGCAGATAGCAATTAAGTTTTACTTAGCACATAATAATTAAATAAAAACCTGTGTTAAGAAAGGAAATTTCAAAAATAAATACAATTAATACCTGAAAGGGAAGTTTCCAATTTTCCAGATATTTGTTGTTTAGGTGGAGGAAGAGAAGAGGGAGAAACTGTCTTGGTCAACCTAGTTTTTTTTAACTTTTTCTTCCTGATTTTAGGACTCCTAAATTCCTTTGGTCGATAGGAAGAATGCCCTGGAATATCAGGAAAAAGGCAAGGAATGGCACCCAGCTTAAGTCTTGGTCTTTCACGTTTAAGTCGGAAAATCTGCAATTAGAGTTATTATTTTTCAACGGTAAGAACTATTTAAATCACTTAATTTATATTATGATAAAGATTGCAATTTAAATCACTTTATTTCTATAAAAAAAAAAAAAAAATTACTGCTTTAAATAAACTTTTTTTAAAAACCATAACATGTTAAAATACTTACATATAGTATTATTTCTGAATATATTTAGTTTTTTCTCTAAAATATCACAGTTAAAGAAAGTTTTATTTCAAAAATAAATAAATAAATCATGAAAGGCGATGTATAATTTGTTTAAAGTAAAAAGCAAATAGCCATTCGTCTGGACCCGTGATGGTAACGTGCAACTCTTTCAAGTAGGGAGGGGTGTGTGGTCACAGTTTAGGACAGATTTTAGCTCAGGTGGGCGAGAGAAAGGGAATCTTTTTCTTCGTTCAATTGTGTTAGCTCTTGACTGAAGAGAAACCAGGGGTCTGTCCAGGGCAAATTTACCTTCACAAATTCAGGGTACCTTCACAAATTCAACTTTAGAAAAAAACTGCAGTTTCACAAAATAAAGTAAGTTAAAAAAGCAAGTACTAAGATTTTCCGCCTCTTAAAAGTTTGCTTTTGTATCTCCATAAGAAACTATAAATCCCAGAGATTTTTAAAATGAAACAAGATTCTCTCTATACTCTTCTGCCCAGAATAAGTTTTTTTATTAATGCATTCTGGTCTAAACTAATTTAATTTTCATTGGATACCTACAATAACTGGCAAACAGCCTATGGATCTTATGTTCGAGCAAAAATAACCGATATTTCATTTATTCAATGAGAAGTTTGTAATAATTAAAAAATACTTAGTTAGAAATAGCTAATATTTTAGCTAGATAATTACTTAGTTAACTATTTTAGTTAGATAATTACTTTTAAATAATATTAAGAATTAATAACTTTTATCAGATGATTAAAAAAAATAATAAATAAATAAGTAAATCTGATTTTTTTTAAAAAATCATGATTTTTGCAAGACACTGCTTTAAATACCTATAGTTCTTTATTTTTATTTGAATTCAAGAGTCATAACACTTACGGTTCCATCAGGCAGTTTTGTTTCATAAAACCTTTCAATGTCATCTTTTTTAAAGTGTCTACTACAGATGTGATCAGCATTTCTTAATTGTCTGTCAGCTCGAGGTATGGATCTTCTCCAAATCTCAAAGACAGCAGGATCCTGAACAATGTAAATATATATATTTTATCTTATATACCCTTACTAACAAAGAATCAGTATTTGCAAGCATCAATGTAAAATACACGGATAAGGGTAACACTTTAGAGTAAGTACAAATCGCATTAAATTCACTCGACTTAGATAAAATTAGAAGCTTTATCTGAAAGCAATATTTCAACAAAAAAAATTTCTGCTAATAATTTTTTTTCTTTTCTTATTGGTAAGAATATCAATCCTTTTGCTGTCACCTCATTTTGAGAAAATTTCGTTCAAAATCACAGATTTTTGTTAATTAATGCTTTTGTATAAAACTTTAGTGATTATTCTATTTCTTGAAATTTGGAAATATTATGAAGCTATAAAATTAGAAATTTACTTTTTAAATTTTCTGTTGTTGTATCCCAATTTTTTTAATTTGATGGCAAAATAGAATATGGTAACTCTGACTCTTTACTTCCTTTTTTTTTTTTTTTTTTAAAAACAGCTAATATTAAATTTTTTTTACTATGATGATACATTTTTTACCAACAGCATTAGTTTAAATACTAAAAAATCTTAATAAAATTATGCATATTTAATTATAATATTAGCTACATTTATTAACAAACTTAAAACAAAAAGTTTAAAAAATATAGGTTTGAAAATTATAAAAATAGAAAAGCAATTTTTAGAAGGATTATTTGCAACTCTAAACATTTAACTTCTTAATTGAAAGTTTCATGATTTCCATAGTCTTTAGATTAAAGATAGCATAAGTAATTGTTAGAATGTTTAGATTTTTTTATTTTTTTTATTACAATTGGACTGTCTTTAAAACAAATTTAAAAGTTTCCGATATTTTGAGAAATTCTGAAGGCAACAAGACAGTGGTGTAAAAAAGAAGTTTACAAGAAACATAGCAAGGAGGAATGACTGCAATCTCATGGATAAACAAGTACATATCAGTTTTCTTAGAAAATTTTGAATGTTTAAAAATACCTTGAGTTCAGGGTTGGCAAGATTTTGCCGCAGGTGGAAAAAACCATGGTAAATACCGGTAAAAACCGTCCTGGCAAAAACAGGTTTTTGCCAAGCAAATTGGCAAAAACCTATATTTTCCAAGATGAGAGGACAAAAACACATTTTTGATACAAAATTATTCCTAAAATTGAATAATATACTATAAATATAAATAATTACAAAAAAATTATTATTCCATAATTAAATCATAATGTAATAATATATCATTTTAGTAGTTTAAAACATTATTGATTGGAAAATTTGTGATTATTCTCTTTTTTCCAGTGAAATGAACTTATTTTAAATTAATATAACTATAATTTAAAGCATAAAATATCTATCAACATGTGTAGTTAATTACTGTACAAATAATTTTTTAATAAATAATAAATACAAAAAATATTTATTTATTTGTAAAAAAACATTTACTTAAGGATTCTAAAATAAAAAGAGGTTAAAAAACTTTCAATCTTTTAAAAATTATTACCCTTATATTAATTATTAATATGTTAAAAATAATTTTTTCATGTAATGTATCAAAATTATTATTCCTTATGATTGATTTAAATTTGTTTCAAGTGTTTTGTAATAATATTTAATCAGCAATTTAGATAATTTGGTTTTTGCCGGTTTTTACCAGTTTTTGCCGGTATTTACCAGGTTTTTGCCACTGTCCTGGCAAAAACCCCTTTTTGCCGGCAAAAACTCCAACCCTGCTTGAGTTATTGATGGTGACAGTTAGTGTAAACAGGTACTGATAAGGAAATATCACCAATACATATAATAATTTAAAAAGTTTAATTAATTATGCAGTGATATTTTTCATCAAGGTTTAAGTCAACAAACATTTATCTTTGGTGATTTAAACAAAGAAATTGTTCGAGCAGATTTTCTCCTTTTACTCGTAGAGCCTGTTTTGCATCCAGGTACAAAGCAAACTTTTGGCATGATATATATTATAAATTGTTTTTCTCGAAAATTACGACAGTAGACAAAAATGATGATCTGTCCAGCAAAATCAAATTAACCAAACTTTAAAAACTAAATAATTTTTTTGAAACAGGTTTGCACCATAGATTAAAATTGATTTTTATTTTATTGTGAGTGTTTATTTATTAGTATCATTGCTTAAAGCACTTAATTTGGCACTATAAACAAGTTATGGACTTTCAAATCAGGTAATCTAACTCAAAAATGGATTTACTTCATGGGCAGACACAGCTATGTAGATTTTAGTGTGCACCAACGAAAAATTGAAATGAAATAAACAGTTTAATACACTTAATAAAATAATTATTATTTTCCTGAAATTTACGATAAAAAGAAGTATTTGGAATTAAATAAGTCACATAATAATTCTTCCAATTACTTTTTATAAACTATAATTGTTTCGATGATCAGATCAATCAATCACAGTTGTTGTCACAGGGTGTGCGGTATTGGTCCTCGTTAAACTGTGCTACCGTAAAGTGCTCGACTTCGCGTGCAGGTCGTTGGGCTACCGAAGCGGGGGTGCCATCCCCTCCGCAGAGGATCAAAATTGTGATGGCATGTCTTCGGATCATCCTCCGGGATGTTTCCCAGACCGCTGCCAATAGCCCATTGTGCAGCTCTAGTGCGACGTAAATTAACAACAATCAATCACAATAAGCAATTTTTAAAAATCACTTTAACGATTAAGTAATAAGTTTATTAAAACAACTGATAAATTAAATAGACAAGAAGCAAAGAATACACTAGTGGATCAAACAGGAAGACTTAAAACAAAATTTATTTCCATTGATGTTTGAAAAACAATTCTAAAAGAGAATATCTTTACAATGTTATTAAAAGCATAAACAAGTACAAGTTTAATAGCATAAAAGTCAAACAAACAAAACGATAATTAAAAATTTACCTTTGGAGCTTTAAACAAGCTAATAGTAGGAAGCTGCTTGTCTTTTCTTTTTTTAAGTTCAGATGGATAGCCTGTCTTGCATCCGGGACAAAAGCAAAACTTCCCCATAATTACTTGTTATAATTATCTAAAAAGCACAAACAAATAAAATAATATTGAAGTTTAATATTAGTTTTTAAAACGAAAATCCTGCATGTGCAATGTTAACGAACGAAAAATTAGTTGGCGTATAGTTTGCTGCGACCTAGCAATAGTCATGCATACATAATCCATTAAATTCTGACGAATCACATTGTGGGGAAAATTTTACACTAAGCTGGGTCTCCATATGATACTCTAGTCTCTATGCCAGATGGACTGATCGTTAAGACACGGTTCCCAGCAGATTACCGAAGCGGGGGTGCCATTCCCTCTGCAGAGGATCAAAATTGTGATGGTACGTCTTCAGATCATCCTCGTGGATGCTTCCCAGATCATTGCCAACAGCCCATTGTGCAGCTCTAGTGCGACGTAAGTGAACTACAATAACAGCATACAGGGTGCATAGCCAAATTATTCAACAAAAAATAAGCACTTTTTAAGCACTCAAAAAAAAAAAAATTTAAGCACTTTAAAGAAAAATATCATAATTAGGTGGAGCGGAAAGTTTTCGACAATTGATGGTTTTATGTTGTTTTAACCGTCATGTCAAAAGAAATAATAATAATAAAAATCTTATGGCATTGGTTTTGACAATTGTCAAAAATCATGAAATTTTGAATCATGCAAAACGAATGACGTTTTCAAACGCAACGGACTGACAATAACCCGAATTAGATTGGGATTGAATTAATTGAGAAAACGTTGACTAGAACAATGTAAACAGTGTCTTTTTGCATAATTCGTTGCAAAAATCAACATGGTAAAGGAAAAATCTCATTTTCAAAAAGGGAAAATTAAGTACCTTTTACTTTTAGAATTACACCATAGATTAAAATTGATTTTCATTTTATTATGAGTGACTTTAACTAGTATCATTGTTCAAAGCACTTAACAAGTTGTGCTTTAAACAAGTTACGGACTTTCATATCAGGTAATCTAACTAAAACCTGCGCGAAAACAGATTTTAAAATACACCAACGAAAAATCGAAATGAAATCGACGGTTTAATACACTTAATAAAATATTAATTATTCTTCTAAAACTTCTGACCAAAAAACTAGGAAAATCGAAGTCTAAATTCATACAAATCCGCTAAAAAAAACACTTTTAAGAATATAAGTTCCAGACTGCTTATTTTTGTTACTAATGATATGTACTTGAAAAAAGTTTTCTTTCGAATTCCAATTGCGAACTTGAACTTGATTGGTGAAAATATACATCCCGAAAAACTCACCAATTATATTGTCATCTTCACTGAGCATATATGCAGTGAGAATAGCCACGTAACCAAAGACATATCAAATAAAGTTATAAGCAACACTAGTATTTTATAAAAAAGCTGCTTTTCCTTAATTTGTTTGTGTTTTGAATAAAATAGAAGTACAGTAAAAAAGTGCATTTGAATTAAATTTCATGAAGTTAAAAGGACAAAATTTGTAAACTATCTTGTGATGGAGGAATTGCGCAAATTAGAGTATCTCTCACTTGTGTCAAAGATTTGTACAGAGCTTGATAATCATTTAGGAATTAACGACAAAGATTTAGGTTTGATCACATAAATTATTTTTAATGGAGTATAGAACTGGGTGTCCCTTGTATTGGGCACAGTATCTTGGTGCATTTACTTTATATGAAATCTTTAATTTTTCTATTGTTATTTCGATTTCTTATTATTAGAACATCTCAACTTAAAGTCATTTTCCACGTTTTCTGTAAGGGGAATATTTTCATATAGTTATCTGTTGTGTAGTAAAGGTTTGCCTGAGAATAGCCACGAGTTAAACCCTTCAAGTTTATCCCCTTCTGTAATAATTTTGTTTTAGTTAGTTTAATTTTTTTTTTTTTTTAGTTGCCACTGTCCGTAAGTTGGTGATCATTCTGCTGCAAAGCAGAATAAGTAAATTTTCCCAATTATTACATGGACTTTATTACTGCAAAATTACTTTTTGTAAGTGAATAATAATGCAGACATATAGTGAATGCTCTTTGGCAATAATTTTACCACCAGTAGGCACCTGTTTTTTGCTGTAAAATTGCACAGACCAATATTGAATCTTCGCGGCAACAGTTTCGTTACCAGTATGCACCCTGTTAAAAGTACACCAAACTAACGTATACCGTATAATAGCTCTTAACCTCAAAAAAAAAAACATTAAAGTAGGATGTATTGAGTAAATTTCTCTCGGAAAGTTGCATTTAATCTTAAAAAAATTCATGTTGGATCAGTAAGATATTATGTATTCATGGCAGTAGCTCTTAACCTTAAAAAAACATAAGCAGTGTTTTGAGAAGGCTGTCTGCCATGCCTACCCTTTGATCCCTATAAATGCACACTTTTCGAAAAAATAAGTTGCCATTCCAAAAAAACACTGCCTTTTTTATTTATATTCCATTTTCAAGAAAATTAATTCACTATTTAAATAATAATTTGCACACTGATAAAAATTAAGTGTGTTTATAGATTTAATTCTGATTACTATTACAAATATTGATTTTGTTGGTGACGAATAGTGACTTGACCAAATAACAAATATTCTACAGTTGAATAGCAAAATTTTTTTAGAAAAAACTATTCATAAATAATTTTTATATGTAAATAAGTTTAGTCATTATTAAAACCCAATCAAAACCTACCTGTATTACAGTTATGGGGTAAAGGGAGAAAAAAAAACTATAGTAGTTATCCAATAGAAGTATTTAAGAAACTGTCTAACAGCTATAAAAAATAACTGAAGTTGTAGAGGTGAAAAAAAGAAATGGAGAATTAAAGAAAAAAATATGTTAATTCATAAAACGTGAAAAGAAATATAGTCTATTAGAAACCCTTTTATGAATACTGAGCTTTCATAAAAATGCCCAGAAAGACAAAAGATTATGTATAAAACCGAAATAAAAGTCTAATCTTATTCTTGAGAAAAAAAATTATGAAAATAAATTTTAGTTCTGAAATTTTAAAGCTGAGCCACTTTTCCAGTTTCTGTATTTTTAGGAAAAAGCAAAGAAAAAATAGTAAATCTAATAGTAACCCTCTTATTTGCTGCTTCATAATAAAAGCATCAATAATAACCAGGGGTCAGTCTAGGTTTTTCTGAGAGGTACCTATTTTGTGAAAATTTAGACATAATTTGTGAAAAATTAAAAATTATACTAAAAAATCAACACAAAAATATGGATTTATTGTTTCTTAAGGGATACAAAAATAAAAATTTAAGAGAAAGTATTTTGTGAAACTACCGTTTTTCCTAAAATTGAATTTGTGAAACTACCGTTTTTCCTAAAGTTGAATTTGTGAAGGTACCGCTAAACGGTAGTAAATTCGGCCTGGACAGACCCCTGATAACAAAAGTTCTTTTTTTTTTTAAAGAAAAAGAGAGAAATAAAAAAAAATATATCAAAACAAAAATCATTCTTAATTTTTTAATGAAAACTAGCACAAAAAATCTAAATTCAACTATTTCACTTTGCCGTATTTCTAGAGAAAATTTTGATAAGAGAGTGACCAGTGCCAGATTACCCATTAGGCCATGACTTGGGGCCTAATAAAATTTAATTAATTATTTAAAATGGATTTTTTGAAAAAAAATTTTAAAAATTAAGAAAAATAATGATTTTTAAAAAAAATCAATTTTAAATATATATATTAATAAAATCCCGTAATTTTTTATATACAATGTTGATCATATTTATTTACTACTGATTAAAATTTAATTTATTATTATTTATTTTAATTTTAAATATGCTTTCTAAAATGAAAAGATATATAAATACTTTTATATTTGAATAAATAAATAAAAATGAACCTAAGGGCCCCAAAATTTTGAATGGCCTAGAGCCCCATGTGCGCTTAATCCGGGGGAGAGTGACGCCATTAGAAACGCTCTTTAAAAAAATTTATATTGTAATAAAAATACTTATAAAAATGCAAAATAGAAACCAAAAAAAAAATTTTTCTTCATTCATAAAGCATTACTTAAACGTTGAAAACTTTGATCATCCATGTTACCAATTCTTACCGTATAGGGAAAAGGTGAGAATAAATTAATAAAACTGAAATGCTATGCTGCACTATAATAAAAGAAGCAAAAAATGTACAGAAAAAACATTAACCTCTTTAAAAAATTTTAAAACAAAATATTTTAGTTAATACACATTCTTATGACAGGTATAACTGGTTGTTGATTTTGCTTACTATATAATGCATTGATGAACTATAATTAATTGCAGTGCAACAAAAATTACTTTTGAATATGGTAATAAAGCTGATTTAAAAATTTCAGTGTACTGAATCTTGCAGCACATTTTACTTATTTTCTTTTAAATAAAAACTGAATGGTTAATTTATGTACACCATCATTAAAAAATTGCTTAATAGAGTTAATTAAGAATTATTATCCCCCATTGTTTTCTTCTACTTTTTAGATTGCTAATGAATTTTCTTGTATTTATAGCTGAATTTATAATTTCATTGGCTGAAAAAAACAACTCATATGATGGATTTAAAAAAGCCTTGGAAGAAAATGGAGCAGAATTTTCGGTAATTTTATTTAATCTGTCTGATATTTATTTCCCTGATTAAAAAGTTAGACCTGTCTTAAACATGGTTCCCATGGTCCTTAAAAACTGCTTAACTTTTATTTTGGAAAATAAGGGCCCTTAAAAGTACTTAATTTTGGTACAAGGTTTTTAAAAATGCTTAATTTTTCAGCATGACTATACCAGATAGGAACAATTTTTCAGTTCAATATTTTAAAACAGGAAGTCATTCTTTTATCACCTAGAATTAGACTATGCACCAAGTGTAAAGCATTTTAGAGAGACAAGAAGGGATGGATGTGAGAGGGCTGCAAGCAAGGAGAAGAAAGCACGTCCTTTTATTTATATATTGTTTATTTTATTAATATATTCTTCCTTTTGCCTTGAAAGATAGTGCTCTTTTTTTTGGGGGGGGGNTGGGGGGGGGGGGGGTTCTAAGGTAATTAAGTAGGGGACCCACACCGTCAAAATCAAAATTGACAGAATTCAAAGAATTCAGTTCTGCTGGTAATGCATCTGCTCATAAGAACAAAGTAAAACCCCAAGAGAAGAAGTATAAAAAAAATTTTGAACTAGAATCCATTAACAAAAATTATTTCCAAAAATCTTGGAAGAATGAAATAAATTTGTAATATATTTAAGTGTGTAATAAGTTACTGTAAATTTATAAAAAGCAATAACATTTTTTTAAAATTTTTGATTGTGCTAAAAATTAAGCTGATATGTAATAAACAGGGTTTGAAAAATCCCATCCATTTACATCAAAAACCTGAGATTTATTGGGCTTTTGGTGAAAATCTCAAGTTTTTTCAAAAATATTTTAAATTTTTATTGTTGAGTACTAAATAAGAATGCATGATTTGATCTTAACAAGAAAGTTAAATATTTAGTAACTAATTATAACTTGTTTTGCTGCAATGTAAAAAAATATTAAAGTTTTAAATTGTTACGCTATTGTTTTTATTTCTTAAGGATAAGCAGATTATTGCATAGAAGATTAAATCTACTCAATTAAGAGATCCCAAACTTTTTGTTATTAATGTCTATTAGTAGGGGTGAACAACCTTTTTTGAGTGAAGGGCACAGCTGGTTGGCTAACGAAGGGCCGCGCATGTATTGAGACATGTTAATGACAAATGTAGTAATGTTTATTTAAATATTAGCGTTCCATTTTTTCATCAATAAACTTAGTAATATATTTGTAAAAAATTAAAGGTGTTCCATTTTTAGGATTCATTCAAAAATAAAAAAACTTATACTTTTTTTTTTACAAAAAAATTGCTATTTTTATCATATGAACAATAGATTTATCAAGATAAATAAACAGTGAAGAAAATAAATGTTTTTTTTTATCATGTCATGCAGTACGAAAATTCATTTTAGAATTGCGAGGCACATCCAGAAAGTAAATTTCCCTATTTTTCTTTTAAAAAAAAGAACGCATACTTTCAGGAACATATTTATTGGCAACAAGTACAGCAATGTTTCAGTTATTTTTCAACATAGCCCCCACCAGAATTGAGACACTTGTCGTATCGTGGGATCAACTTTTGTATCCCTCTGTCGTAGAACTCTGCCGCCTGTAAATGGAACCAGCGTATGACAGACATCTTCAGCTCTTCGTCGTTTCCAAAACTCTCACCCGAGGATAGGAATTTCATGAGGTGCAAGAAAACATGAAAATCGCTGGGAGCAAGATCAGAGCAGTAGGGTGGATGATCGAACAACTCCGAGCCAAATTTCGTCAAAACAGCTGCTGTGCATCGAGCTGTATGTGAAAGAGCATTGTCATGGAGGAGCACAACACCTGCAATAAGCATTCCACGCTTCTTGTTTTGAATGGCACGTCGCAATTTCCGCAGTGTTTCACAGTAACGGCCAGCGCTTACTGTTTCACAACGTGGTTCCATTCACAGGTGGCAGAGTTCTACGACAGAGGGATACAAAAGTTGAGCCCATGATACGACAAGTGTCTCAATTCTATGTTGCCATGTTGAAAAATAGCTGAAGCATTGCTGTACTTGTTGCCAAAAAATATGTTCCTGAAAGTATGAGTTCTTTTTTTTTAAAAAAATAGGGAAACTTACTTTCTGGATACGCCTCTAAATTCTAATAAATAAAAAAAACTGCAATGCCCTCAGAATGAAAGTAGGAAAAAATTCAGTCATAATTAAGTAATATAAATTCAAATTAAAAATTTTAATTGAAGAAAATTTAAAGGTTTTAAACAAAAGCCTAAAATAAAAACAAAACTGCGATAGTATAGGAAAATAAAATTCAATGCTTATTTTGTAATGTACTTTATTATTTCATTTTATTAATTATTAGACTTTATTTAAATCGCAAAAATGTTCCTTTTTTTTAATCGAAAAAGATCACTTAAACAACAAAAAATTGAAATCTAAACTACAAACAGTGAGCAGTTTAAGAATTCACATTTTCCGCCATTTTATGAATTTCTCAAGTTGCAATAACATTGCATTTAAATTAGTGGTGCAACGAGTATTTGGCCCTTCTGTGAAAAATTCAGTTGGTTGAATGATCAGTCAAATATTCGGCAGAATATTTTTTAGAAATGTATTTTTCTAAGTTTTTTTTATTTTTGAATTTTCATAGACATTACTTTTTTTTAAAATTATAATCAGATACGTCAATTTTGTCGTTTTTTAATACTTTGAGAATAGAGAAGGATTTTTTTTCTCCATTTTTTGCTGTTTTTATTATAACCCATCATTTTAACAGAACGTCTCATACTATTAATTTATTATCACTCTTTCCCTGAACCGTAAATATAAATAACCAGTAACATAGAAAAGTGTGATTTTCGGTATTAAAGTTTTGTTTCTGGAACTAAGAAAAATTTGTTTTTTCTGTTTTTCTTTTTTAGGCATTTTTATTTTGACTCAGCATTTTTTTTAAAAATAAAGTTACTAATAAATTTATCTTATAGCAATTTTTTTCTTCTAAAATTATGGCAATGAGAAAAATTTTAATTGCGATTTTCAGCATAAGATTTTCATTTGAAAAATTAAGAACGTTTTTTCTAACTTTTTATTTTCTTTAAATAAAAAAAACCTTTTTTAGACGTTTTTATTATAACGCATTAATTTTTAATAGCATTTCTGTTGACTTAATTCTTTTTTCTTGGCTTTTTCTGGTAATTGGAAAACTAAGAAGTTCAGCTTTAAAATTTTCTTTCAGAAATTAAGATTGATTTTTATGTTCTCTGTTTCATTTTCAAAAACGTTCTTGATTAGCCTTATTTTTTAGAGTTAATTTATGAATACGTTTTTCCAGGAAATATTATTCTGAGCATTGAAATTTTAGTTTCAGTGTTGCTATGCTGCTAAAAGATTTTGCTATTTGGCCCCAAGTGTACGGCATTCAGTCGATTTTTTCTTCTTCTTTTTTTGCCGAATATTTGGTTTTTGACCAAATCACAATTCATTACCAAATTCGACCAAATCATATTCGTTGCGGTAAAAAAAACGAAAGAAAAATAACTAGGATTTACGATAAAACTGCACCGAAATACCGTATCAAAAAGTAATCTTAAGTAAAAGTAAAACATATCGTAAACATCATAGTTAAATAATGGGATCGTCAAAATCATGTGGAAAAGTATAGAAATAATTGGGAAAAAATATATTTATGCTGAACTCAGCACGAATAAAGCGTGTCAAATGCATGATTTAAAATTTGCATGTCGTAATAGAATAATTGGAATTTTTTATGATACGTGGGAACGCATAGCAATAATTGCCGAAAAACTTGTTGAGAAAAAGAAAGAATTGAGAAGAAAAAAAAGATAAAAAATCACTTAGATTTAAGATGAAATCGTCACAAATAAAGCGCACCAAAAAGTGATTATTTAAATGGCTGATCTGAAACTCGCGTCGTAGTAAAAATTCGGGATTTTCGAAATCACGTAGAAAAGCGGAAATGACTGCTTAAGAAAACTCATTTATGATACGATAAAATCGGCTTAAAGAAAGTGCGTTAAACGTACATTTACTAAAGAATCTGTTATAATTGATTGTGTCAAAACGTGATTACTTAAAAGTGCGGTTAAAAATTGCCCTTTTTAAAAAATTTTTTATTGTATTTGGAAGCTCACGCGGGCCGCACTTCAGTAGTCGAAGGGCCGCATTTGGCCCGCGGGCCACAGGTTGTGCACCCCTACTATTAGAATAAAATTCAAACTTAGAGTTTAATAATCATATTTCTCAGTTAACATTGCAACTTAATATACTGTTTTGTTTGTTTTTTTTAATTTTTTTTTTAAAATTTCTATTTAACTTTGGGGTTGCTAGAAAATTAGATATGTTTTTCATCTGATTGTTTAGTAATATTATGTAAAGTTAATTCCTAATATCAGTTTTGGCTTTAAATAATTGCAAAGCTCGTCATAAAAGTAAATATAACGCATTTGCTGTTGAGTAATAATTTCAAAATGGTTAAGTTACATACTTTTTTTAATATGTTTGTCATAAAAAATTTTTTATTTATTATTTTTCAAAGCTATTAATTTACGATAAAAATAAAATATCAAATCATAATAATTGTGGAGAATAATATTAAGAATGAAAGAGAATGATAAAGAAATATTAAAAATAGATATCTATGAATTAACAGTGTTGATTTTAGATATTATACATAACAGTTATTATAGATATCTTATTGTTAATTTTTAATTGTTTATTTTTTCAGTAACATATATTTTAAAAAATCTAACATTTCGGATTTAAAAAATATATATAATTTTTTTTTATTGGTTTGGGAATAGAAAAAATGTCATAATGTGCAAATGATGGTTACCTCTGTCGAGAGTTTTAGTGAAAAACTGTGACAAAATGATCATTTTCGCTTCCAAACATGCAATTGGCACTCTGACTCAATTTCAAGCTGCAATCATAAACAATTGAACAAAAAATGTGTTTCCGAGCACGGCCATCGAAAATTAAAAGTATGCAGCAACGTGTTAATTGTTTATTTGGTTATTTTATCTATTAGTTTATTTTACCTTGTCTCTATGAATATGTTTTTATAAAGCTTAATAAATTTGCTACTCACTTTCATTATAGGAATCATTTTCTGCAAACTTGCTACGTCTTATACAGACGATGATGCCAAAAACAGAAGTAAAGGAGGAGGAAGATGAGTTAAAAGATGTTGTTAAAACAGAACTAGAGAAGAAAAAGGAAAAGTTCCCTGGTCTAGCCATTCCTAATGATAAAGTCAAAGTAAGCTCACTGTTAATAATAATTAACACTTAATAGGCTAACTTCAGCTTATACATTGAAACTTCCAGAAGGAACCACTTTTAGGGAAGCCACCGATTTTTGGGTGGATCAACTTTTTTTTCTCCGTAAACTTTGTTAATGTAAATTTTTTACAAGCAAATAGGAAAAAGTTCTTCCCAACCAGTGTATCATTAAGAATGGTAAAACAATAATGTGTTTAGCTTTTGTACACATATTATTCCTTCATTTATGAATCAGGAAAGGAATCAAATCTGTTTTCAGGGGTCAGTCTAGGTTTTTCTGAGAGGTACCTATTTTGTGAAAATTTAGATATAATTTGTGAAAAATTAAAAATTATATTTAAAAATCCAACACAAAAATATGGCAAGAATATGGATTAAGGAATACAAAAATAAAATTTTAAGAAAAAGTATTTTGTGAAACTACCGTTTTTCCTAAAGTTAAATTTGTGAAACTACCGTTTTTACTAAAGTTGAATTTGTGAAGGTACCGCTAAACGGTAGTAAATTCGGTCTGGACAGACCCCTGGTTTTGCAGATTCAGTGTTAGTTTTTCCTTCCTTTCTCTTCATCATTAGTATTGACAGATTCCAAAAAGCACAACAAACTCCATTTTTGTTGCAGTCAGATTGTTCTATTGATAAACTAAAATTGCTTTTTTTTAAACAGGATTTTGTGTACAGACTCTTTGTTTCATAAATATTCAGTAACGAAAACTCCCATAAATGTTCAATGGGAATCATGTCGGGCGATCTAGGTGGCCAAATTGCTGAAATTGTCCAGAATGTTCTTCAAACCAGTTGCAAATAGTTAAGGTCCTTAACGTGAGGCATTGTCATCTATAAAAATTACTATTGTTTGGATACATGAAGTCCATGAATGTCTGCAAGCAGTCTCCAAGTGGCTTAACATAGCCATTTCCAATCGATGAACGGTGCAATCGGACTATGAAATTCAAATAAATTTTAAAAACTATACAACTCTTTGAAAACTGTTTTTAAAGTGTGTGTAGATTCAAAATGATTTCAACCCTCAGAAAAATTGTAATCAGATGGTAAATACAGATCTGATTATAACTTAGGCCATGATGTTACTTTTATTATTTTCAGCCTGTATAAAACTAGAGCTAGTTTAGGTAAAATAAGCTCATAAAGTAGTAATTATGACCTTCCTTTTAAGAGTATAAGTAACTTGGTTAATTGTTATTACATTCTTAAGGAGCTCAAAATCACCTAAAGCTCTTAAAACACTCAACTATTTTTTAAGGGGACTAAGTTCAAAATAAAAAAAGTCACACTTAATTACCCCCAACTGACCATAAATGGGTGAAATGAGTGGTTGCTTGTGAGAACTGTATTTGACGTTTTTATAAGAACAAATTTAAAATTTGAGCTGGAGAGCATATTCTTAACTAATATAGGAGAAATTATATTTAAAGTTACAATTTAATTTTGAATTCCTATGTGGGAGTTTTTGTATAGATTTTTAGAATAATTGTACTTTTCTATTTAATGAAATTTTAATTTGAATGTTAAGTAATAATTAAGTAAAAATTATGTAATGTAATTAAATTATGTCATTAATTATTAATTTTTGTGTTCAGTAATAATTAAGTAAAAAATTATATGTCATTTTAACTATACAGTGGGTGATCGGTTAACGAACTGATCGGTCAACGAACAAATCGGTTAACGAACACTTTGACGAAGGATTTTTGTGTTCGGATAACGAACACTTTCAAGAAAAAATTTTTGAGTTCGGACAACGAACACATTTTTGGATAATGAACAAAACAAATTCTAAGGAACACTTCTCGGCCTGAAAAAAAAAATTAATATTAAACATTTGTTATAATTTTGCATGCAAAATAAGATCACTGAAAGGAGAAATGTTTAAAGCATGTTTAGTATTGATAATTACTAAATGAAACTTGAATTAACAATGAATTTAAAGGTCATTCAATAATTATTATTATGACTAAAATCAATACACACTTGAATACTTCAATTTTAGTACGAATATCAATATTTTCTGACAGCTAATAAGTTATGGGCGAGTGGATTTGCTGACATAGCGAATAAATTAAGCGAATTCTTAATTTTTTCGATCAGTGCAGACTCTAAAATATAAAGGTGCCAATGACGCGCTACCGCCGTAAAAATACGTGAAATATGAGAAACGGACTAAAAATCGTTTTTCATTTCTCTTGAATTATGTTGCTTACCTATTAATTTTCAAAGTTCTATTGAAAAAAAAATTCCAATAGAATATTCATACAAATTAGACCATCAGTTTCGGTTTTAATTTCATTCAAAACCGAAAAATATTTCGTTTTGAGCGCTCCCCCCCCCCTCGTTCATTCCCCGTCCCATTCATTGTCTTGAATGACGAATTCCAGACGGCAGGCTCTTTTCCAAATAGTCAATCGCCTTTTAGTCGCCACTGGCAACTTTGAATGTGGTAATAACACACGTATGGTGCTAGTGTGCGCCAAAACTTTGTCAATTGTGTACGTTAGTTGGTTCCTGTTCCTCTGAAATTTTCGTGTGTTCTTTTCTGAACCCCTTATAAAAAAAAATTGAAAATCTGACAATATTATGGGTCCCAAAAAGCATGGAGTGTCAAGAACTGTGCTCACTTTAAACACCAAGCGAGAAATGATTGCCAAAGTTGAGAGTGGACAGAAAATGGCTGATGTTGCGAGACAGTATGGCTTGAACAGGTCTACAGTATGCACAATATTAGCTAAGAAAGATATCATCAAGAAGACTCAAGCAGCTGAAGGAGTAACGAAAATCAGATCTGCGAAGCAAAGAAGTGCCATCCATGATAAAATGGAGAGGTTGCTTTTAGTTTGGATAAATGAACGGGAAATGAAACGAGATGTAACTAGTATGCCTATCATTCAAGAGAAGGCTAGAGAAATTTTTGAGAAATTGAAAGAACAAACTCCAGGCTCGTCATCCGAGGAGCTAGAATTCAAGGCTACCACTGGCTGGTTTACAAAGTTTAAAAGAAGGTTTGGAATTAAACATGTATTAATGCATGGTGAGTCTGCTAGTGCAGATAAAGAAGCAGCTGAGAAGTACTGTCTCAAATTTCAAGAATTCATTGAAACAGAAGGGTATCGTCCACAACAAATATTTAATTGTGATGAAACTGGTTTGTTTTGGAAGCGCATGCCGAACGGTACCTACATCACGAAAGATGAGAAAAGTGCTCCTGGGCATANTTATATGCATTAAGTAGAATTCACCTGGAAATAAAAATAGGCAGGGCACTGCCTCTCAGAAAAGGGCACTGTAAGTTTTGAAAGGACACTCATTCGACACCATAAAAATTTATCAAAATGTGAAATATTATGTAATAACTGAATTTGATCCTCAACTATTTTTTTAATTACCCTCTTATACTATTCTATGTGTATATTTCAAAAAATAATTCTCTCTCTTTATCAGAGTAAGATAAAAATCTGTTGTTTGTAAAAATAATTAAAGGCTATAAACAACAGGACATTGATTTTTTTCAAAAAAAAAAAAAAAAAAAAAAACAAAAANAAAAAAAAAAAAAACTAAAAAAAATTATTAATTGATAAACAACTTGAAATATTTTTATATAACTTAAACTAAAAATTTTAAGAAAATAAAAATTTTAAGTTCCGTTTTTTTTAAAGAAAAAGTTATTTATTTAAAAAATAATTTTAAAAATTAAAACTAGTGAAAAGTTTATTAATATCCCCTCTTGAAAAAAGAGATACTCGTTAAATTAACTCTTTAAAAATAATCCTAATGAAGTAAATATTTGTTATAATAATCAGGATTAAATCTATAAAAGCCGATAATTTTACCAGTGTGTAATTATTATTTAAATGGTGAATTAATTTTTAAGAAAATGGAATATGAATAAAAAGGCAGTGTTTTTAAGGGATGGCGGTTTATTTTTACAAAAGGAACAAAGAGGGCTTATTTATGGGGATCAATGGGCAGGTAAGGCAGGCTGCCTTTCTAAAAACGCTTAGGGAGAATACTGCAATAGATATTGTGTTATTTATATTACATCTGTGGTAATATAAATAACACAATGGATGGGGTGGAATTTTCAATCTTGTCCATTTTCTCCTTTATGTCCTATAACTTAATAAGTTTTTTTTTTCAGAGATAGTTTGCCAAGGAATACTTATTTTTATATTTCTCTTTTTTATTATAGAATTTGTTAGATGAAGAGGATGAATTAATTGTAGGCGATGCACTGGCACAGTTAGAAGCTTTAGCTCCTGGAAAAAAGTAAATAAGAATAATAAATAAATCTTTTCTATCTAAATCTATAAGTTTCTAAAATTTGATCTATTTGAATCCTTCTTTTCTTCTTTGATGCTATCCAGTTAAAATTTCGATAAAAATCTCTCATTTTCAAGTTTTTTTCTCTTCAAAATCTATGTTAGTATATTATGTTTGAGACAGTTTTTTATTATTTCTTTAATTCATTGCTATAAATAAATATGCTAATGTTGCTGGTTTATCTAAAACTGCTATTATATAATAAAAAAAATTTATTTTCTATAAAAATTTAATAATTAAAGATATTATTTATTAATTAATATTTTTAATGGACTTACGACCCATCACTTTTAAAGTTTACTATAACCATTTGAAAAATTTATGAATTAATCCATTTGTGAATTTATGAATTATTCCTCTCCAGAAATTCCTTGCAGTAAAAATTTCATCCTCTGTAAATAGACAATAATTTACAAAATTACTCAAACTTTGTACTCTTATATATTAATTACAATCCTGTGTGTATTCATTACTCTTTTTATTTAAAATTATCTTAACAGTAATAAATTTTAAAGAAATATGCGACCAATTTTTTTTTTTTTTTAAAATTACGATTTAGGTATATGCATTTATTTAATTTAACCCTTTGATGCAGATGGGACCCAGTATCCCTTTTATATATATTTTTTCTGGTGCTCTAATTACAAGCAGAAATCTATTCTGGTATTTTTTAATTATAAAAAACAGCCTAATAGTTGCTAAAGAAATCTGACATTTTTTTTATTTGACTTTTTTCCAAGGGTTGCTGCGTATTTTTGATGGCGAAGAATCATAATTGATTGATATATATATATATTATCTGTCTTTCTGAAATAAATTTATGATTCATTAAACAACACAATAGAAATTGATATTATAATTTTTTTAATTGCATAATTTTTACAACATAAATGTGTTTGTTCTTTTCTCTTGTAGAATAAAAGAAGAGGAAATTTCTCCTGATTACAAAAGCAAGAAACATAAAAAACATAAAAGTTCTGATAAGAAAAGGTGAGCAACATTAAGTGTTCATTTATAGACCTTAGCCATTTCATTTGAAACTTTATAGACTATTAAGTGATTGTAAATAAATCATTTTTTTTTAAAGTCTATGCNTTCTTTTCTCTTGTAGAATAAAAGAAGAGGAAATTTCTCCTGATTACAAAAGCAAGAAACATAAAAAACATAAAAGTTCTGATAAGAAAAGGTGAGCAACATTAAGATAAATTTTTTCTTAGTTAGTTTTTTTCTCAAGAAGTGTTCATTTATAGACCTTAGCCATCTCATTTGAAACTTTGTAGACTATTAAGTGATTGTAAATAAATCAATTTTTTTTAAAGTCTATGCATTTTTTGAATTTTAATGTCTTTAAAAATAACTACTTTTCATTGTCTTTTTCTTTGCTTTACTTACTTATTTTTTACTATTTCTTTATGTATTTGTTTGATAAAGGCATATCAATTTTTAATTGTAAAAAAAAATTAAGATGAAGCTCTAAATTATGTTACTATTATTGAATAAATTCCTCAGACAATTAATAAAACTGGTAAAAACATACCACTAACCACACAAATACTTTGAAATAGGTCTTGTTTACATCAAGTTATATTTTTTTGATTACTTAGTTCAAACAATGTTTCCAAATTCTGTAATTACTATTAAGTACATTCCTCAGACAATAAAAATTGTAAAAACGTACAACTAAACACAAAAAAAAATAATTTGAAATAGGTCCTTTTTGCATCAAGTTATAAGTTCAAGCAATGTCTCTAAACTAGATAACTACTATTAAGTGACTTCCTTGGACAATTAATAAAAATGGTAAAAACACACGACTAAACACAAAAATTCTTTGAAATAGTTCCTGTTTACATCAAGTTATATTTTGATAACTTAGTTCAAACAATGTCACCAAATTATATAACTACTATTAAGTAAATTCCTGAGACAATTAATAAAAATTGTAAAAACATGCAATCAAACACACAGACACTTGAAATATGTCAAACAATGTCTCGAAAAATATTTTGAAAAACAAAATGCACAGATGTTATATTTATATGAAATATAAAAAATTGTCATTAAAATTCATTCACAACTGTGTGAATTGATTGCACTAAAAAAATTGTAAGATTAAGTACAATTATTGAAGGTTAATTATGTTATATGTTGATAATATTGAAACTTATTTTATTAAACACACTCAATAACTATGGAGTTAATTCATTTTGTTACTTCAGTTTATGGTGAAAAAAATAACTATGCTTATTTACTCCGTTTTTTGTTGATTTGTTTTAGAAGACATTCTCGTGATCGCTATGATGATAGGAGATATTCAAGATCACGATCTGTGTCACCATCTCATTCTAAAAAGAAGTACAAGCGGTCAAGATCACGTTCCCCGAGAAAGGAAGACAGAAAGAGAAAGTGGTCAAGATCAAGATCACGTTCTCCTAGGAAAGATAACAGAAAAAGAAAGTGGTCAAGATCAAGATCACGTTCTCCTAGAAAAGAAGACAGAAAAAAGAAATGGTCTAGATCGCGGTCAAGATCTTCCTCACCTTACTTTGAAAAGAAAACTAAGCATCCTTCCTATGATAAAAAATCTGAACGTGATAAGCCACCTCAGCTACCTTTAGAACCAGTTGTTGGAGAGGTATTATTCATTAGTATAAGAATATCAGGGTTCCCACAGGTCAGGGAAAACCTGGAATTGTCGGGGAATTTTATTTTAACTCCAAAAATCTGGGAATAGCAAGGGAAAGTTGCAATTTCAAAAAAAAAAAAAAAACCTGGAATATTCCTATATCATACCTGGAAAATAACCAGTCTTAAAATTGTTAATAACAGTAATCAGTTATTGAGATTCGAGTTAAATAATTCAACCATTTATTACTATTACTTGTTGTAAAAATTTCCCATTTTAGTCAAATTGAAATGTTCCCATCCATTTTTTTACCCAGAAAATCTAATATTTCACGTAAAAGAATAAAAGTTTTTTGATGAAAATGTGGTCACGAATTTTCATTGAAATGTGCATGGTATACCTGGAAAAGTCAGGGAATTTTTTTTTCTGAAAGTAAGTGGGAAATATTTTCTGAGTTTACTGATTTTTTTTGTTATTAATTTAAATCAACTGATGTTTTTTAAAGAAAAATCACAAATTTAAAGAAACTGAAATTCAAAAAAATAATAATAATAATTTAAATTAAATTCAGTGAAACCTCGATGAAAGACCTCCTTTATTTACGACCACTTTTGGAAGGCACTGATTTTTATCCATATTCTTTATGTTGAAGAAAACCATTATTAGAGACCATCAAAAATAAAAATTTGTAAATTTTCTTTTTACATTTTAAAGTGGTTGAAAATTTTATGATTTTTTTCTTCATATTTTCAATTGATAAATTTAATTTAAAATAATTTATACCACCAATTTATGTGAACAAATTAAACATAGATATAAAGATATGATAATCAGAAGATGGTGTGATTAGTTTCTGACAAAATTAAAAAAATATTTCTGCCCACAACACTTCAATTTTCATAATATACTACCACTTGAGAAAATCTTTTTCAGTAAAAACTAAATTTGGCAGGTGTGAATAATTTTAACTATTTTACTTTGAAGTATTAACTGTTTTAGCTATAATATTGTTTTTAAATATTAAGCATTATGAATGCATTTTAACAGATTCTTTAGTTAATTAATGTAGAAAAAATTTAAGTAAAAAGAAAAATTCTAATTGGAATCAAATATTCTTTTTTATAACCAAATCATGACTTTCGTCAGCCATAGTAGTTTCTGTTGTATGAAATTAACTATTTTAAACATTTATGGAATTGATTGATCAGTTTAAATTGTCTTTTAGTTTTCAATTTTTAATTATATTCCATAAATATTGTTTATAAATACATAAAAAAAAACTGTTATTGAATTGGATCATGGATGTGTTCATTAACGCTTGACTAGTATTTAAAAAATTGTGTAATGGCTTTTTTTTTCTTTATTGATTAATAATATTTGTAAAAAAATAAATTGTAGTTACTTTTTATTGTTACATTATTTATAGAATTTATTTATTGCAGATCTATAATGGCAAAATTACAAACATAATGCAGTTTGGTTGTTTTGTACAGTTGGAAGGACTCAGGAAACGCTGGGAGGGATTGGTACACATATCTCAAGTAATTATCTTACTTTTTGAGAAAATTAAGAACATTGCAAAATTATGCTTTAGAATAAATGCTTTTTTATACTTAATAAGAGTTCATTATTATTTTCTTTTTTAAAATTTCTGTTGTTGCTTACCAATGCCAGGAAGCCTGCTTGGGAAACCAAGCCAAGTTGAGACATGGAGTGCATTTCTTGTTTTTCAGTGGCGCCATCCATAACCAGAAATATGATTTCATCCACACGCACGCACTTCACAGGCCGTTTTACAGGGCAGACCCATTCATTCACCCTCAGAATGTAATTTTTGACCTGACCGGAAAAACGATCAATCTCCCATTCAGTACCCCAAATATATTGATTTGTTATGGGAACTTAGAGGGCTTTGTGACCCTGACAGATTTATGTGTACCATTCACCATTTGATACACGTGGTGTCTTCAGCCAGCGGGATACAAACTAAGGTTCTCACGAACACGAGTCGAGCATCCTATCAATTGGGTTTTCCCCTCCTCGAAAAAATCACTTATTCATATTTGTAATCTAATGTGGTTTGCTTTAAATTTTATTTATTAATCTATTTATGTACTTAAAAACAATCCCACCTCTAAACGTTTTGATATTACTTGATAGTTACTTCTATAAATTTTCTTTTTACTACATGCTTTTTGAAGCACTATTTTAAATTATTGTTTTATAGATTGAATAGCATTTTTTTTCTTTCTATAATGTACTATGAATAGCAATATATAAAATTGAGTGCAAAAAAGTTAAGATAGCTGCAATATTTGCAAGTTATATAATTTTTTTAACTTACACTTTAAATTAGCACTTATAACAATTTTTATTTTGTTTGAATTAAGTTATGTATACTCAGTGTGTGTCAAGAAAACAATATTTACTCATGATCTGCAAACAAATTTTTTTCACATAAATTGAAACTTATATACATGTTATCAAGTTTATTGTATTTTATAAAAGCAAAATTGGTATTTCTATTAGTTTTATTATTAGTAATTTAACTAAGTTCTGTTGTTTTCTTGTTTAAAGCCTTTGAAATTATTAACTATCTGGAATTAAGAATTTTAATATTTTCGAATACAATGCTGTTTAAAATTGTTAAAATACTTTACATTAGTCAGTAATTTAAGAATTTTTCATAATTTTTTTTTTTTTTTTAGTTTATCATAAAAAACAGAGAAATGTTATAAAAATTTTATAAAAATTTCTTACATTTATTTATTAGCTTTTGTCTTGTCATTTGTCTATCCAAACATTAAGGAAATATGGTATATTTTATTTATTAAATATTAATTAATTANTTTGTAATTGTAGAACACGTTTATCTTACAAATGATTACAATTCCCAAAAATTATCTAATTTTTCACAAAGTTATTCTGAAACATACTCACCTCCATGTTTGCAACTTGATTAAAAAATATTTTGAAATAATTTCTTTATTTAAAAAACTTTTGAAATCTAGTAGATTGCAAATTAAAATGGAATGCTTTTTTTAATGCTTTGATATTTGTATATTTTAATTAATGTTTTGACTAGTTGCTCTGTATGTGGTTATTAATTTTAAGTTTTGTTTCTACTTAATTATGTTTACATCATTTATTGTATAGTACTTAATATGAAATCTATGAACTGTACGGCAGAAATCTGTTTTGAATTTTTATGTGTATGTTTAATATAAAATTCAGAGTGAAAATAATGTTTTTTGAGTTGTTTAAGATAAAGGATTGATCTTTTGTCGGGTAGAATTTTTTTTTTTCATTTGAAAATTTATTTATTGATCAGATTATAAATCTGACACTTTAATAACAGCTATTTTTTATGTTAAAGATAAATATCATTTATTTTTCACAGCTTCGCAGAGAAGGCCGTGTTACAAGTGTTGGGGATGTTGTCCAGAAAGGACAAAGAGTGAAGGTCAAAGTTTTATCTTTCACTGGACAAAAAACTAGTTTATCTATGAAGGTAATTTGTCTACTCAAATATTATTACTTTTATTTTATTTAAACATTTCATATTCCTGTTTATTATTTATTTAGGCTCTTAGGATTATTAGAATGCCTTCTAATGAATTCCTAGTTATTTCTTTTTATTATTAGTTTGTATATTTTAACCATAAATATCAAGCTGCTTATTTGTTTTTATGAAGTTGCTGGTTTAATTGCTATTGCTTACCCTTCAACTACTATCCAATTTTCTTAGTTTCGAAAATCTTTTTTCTTAGTGATAGAAAGGTAATTTATTAATATTTTTATAAATTCGAAGTAATAGACTATTTTTACCACTATATATAAAGAATTTATATAGAGATATATGAAAGTTCCATTCTTTCAGTTCTGCTAAATGTTTTATCAAAATTCTATTTGGGTTTCTTTAGTACATAATTTGCAAAATCCTCAAATGTTGAAGGACTTGCTAAAAATATTATGGAAAAGTGAAGTAATTTTTTTATTCCATATTAGGATGTTGATCAAGATTCTGGAAAGGATTTGAATCCTAAAGTTTCTATTCCTGAGTCTACTCGCAGATCTACGCAAGACTTGTTGAGAAATCCAGACAGACCGTCCAGTTTTAATCTCATACCCAAAGTGGACGATAGTGATGTGGACACAAGGAAACATGTCCAAAGAATATCATCTCCTGAAAGATGGGAAATTAAACAGGTAATTTTATTTAATGTATCTTCTCAATTGAATCTTAGCTTTCAGAATTACATATTATCAAACTTATATATAATCGAAGAATTATTAAAAAAATATTGTATGTAATCAATTTCTAACTAAGTAAAATGTAGATTACAATATGATAAGTAAATAGTACTTATAAACTCATCAGCAGCCTTGAGCACTGCATATCGAATACTAGAAGTACAAAATTTTGTTTTTACAATGTGGCAATGAGCAAAAACTCTAAGCGATGTAGGAAATGAAATTGAAAAAATAGAACAATAAGCATACTTAAAGCATTGGCCTACAGCTTTTGCTGTTCACCTTGTTGTGAAAACTAAAACTTGCACTTCGACATACCTTCAGGTATGAAGTGCTGAAGGCAGGTGAGGAGTTTTGGCACTCTTTGTGTATTACATTGTATTCTATATATATATATGTATACCCCATGAATGACAGTTTTCATAGTACCACTTAAATGTATACCGGGCAGTGGCACTTGACCTTTAAGAAACATTGATGTAGTGGCTCAAATGCTCATGAGAGGATCCAAGGTCTACTGTGCCTATCCCAGTTTTCTTGTCTTTGTGCTTTGAAGTTCAAGCGCAGATGTTCCGGTTGAGTGGTCAGGCGAACGTGAAACCCCCAGTGTTTAATTCCCAAGTATGTTTGGTTCTCATTTTATTGACCCATTGAAAAGCTGATACATCTTATTACCTACATAAATATTGTGGAGTTTTTTTCCCCTCCAAAAGTGCTTTCATGTGCAAATTGAAAATGTTTTTTATCATAATATTTCCCCATGCTGGTCATTTTCTTTTAACCTATCATTGATTATCCATAGTTGGTTTGAAAAAATCAAAACACAGATAAAATAATTATGTTAAATCTAAGTATGATAAGAATTATGTTACATTTTATTTTTGAAATAATGTGTAATATTATTCCATTAGTGATTGATAATATCTTACCTTTGCATAAAATGATTATGTTATCAGTTTCATAAACAATGACAGATGTTGTAAGTATTAATTTTTTTTATTTGTTATCTTAAAAAAATTTAGCAAATCAGTTGTTTTTTTTATTTCGTTCGTATCTATCTTTTTCATTAAAGTAAAAGCAACAAAAGAGAAGATATTTCAATTTATTTTATTTCTTTATTTGTTTTTACGTACAAAGTGTTATTCTTGAAAAGTAATTTAAGTTTCCTTACTTTAAGTTTAAATCTTTCTTTCCTACAATGCAAAATGTTATGCAGGGTGACTCTGAAATCACAGGACAAACTTGGATTTAAAGTAATGCACTGCACATCTTTAAGATTTAGAATTGCACGGGAACCTATGACTGGAAATTTCATAGTACACCACTTGGCAGTATGAACTTGAACTGTATATGATAACTGTTATGTTGAAGAGGAATTTTATTTATCTAAATTATCTTAATGTAATGTTTCCTAATAAATATTGTTAAACATTTATAAAATTATTGTTGATTATTTACATTATATTGTTGAACACAAAAAGGAATTTTATTTATCTAAATTATCTTAATTTAATGTTTCCTAATAACTATTGTTGAACATTGCATTTAAATTGGGTCAGTATTAGATTCTTAATTGTAATTTAATGATGTGGCGACTAATTTAACAAGCTCACCAAATCATTAAAATACTATAAAGCAGCTATTTTTGCTTCTATTTGGATGCAATATGACATTTCCGGTCATGGGTTTCTGTGCTACTCTTGACATCCCCTCTGTCTTACCGTACATCCCCTCCAAGTTCGTCTCACAATTTTAGAATCACCCTGTATTTTAATCAATTTTATGAGAAAAGAATTCATTTTATATAACTTGCCATACTGTAACATGCATCTTAATTTCTGTAGATGCTTGCTGCCAATTGTGTTGACATATCCGAATTGCCAGATTTTGACGATTCTACCGGATTGTTACCCAAGGAGGATGACGATGGTGAGATTCTTTTCTCTGTTTTTAATGTAGCAAATAAATTTTAATTATATTATCTTACTTTTACATTTTGCATAGATTTAAAAGTTCAACATTATTGTGATGAAAACTGCAATTAAGTATTTAAGATTATTAATTTATAATATTTTGAAGTAGTTTTTTACTTTTTTGTATGGCAATTTTTTTTTAAATTTTAATTTAATTGTCCTTTTTTTAAACTTTTAGATGAGGACATAGAAATTGAATTAGTGGAAGACGAACCCCCTTTCCTATCTGGTCATGGTCGAGCAAACATGCAAGATCTTAGCCCAGTTAGAATTATGAAAGTAAGTTTTGTTGTATTCAAAAAAAAATTATTATGTACGCTTGTTACAGTATTTAATTTTACAATATTCAATTTTATCTCTCGTGTACTGAATTTTCAATTATTAATTTATGTTAAGAGCATATAGAAAAAAACAATTAAAAAACAAACTATTTTTTAATTCTAGTTTTAAAAATTAAAAAATAGTTCCACACCTTCTATTATTTTATTTATATGTTACTAATTAGAGAATTATTATGAAACTAAATAGTATTTAATTAATTAGGAAGTATACTTTTTGATGTTCAAATTTGGCTGTTTAAAAGTAAATTTAATAAAACAGAAATAATCCAATGATAATTGAATAAAGTAAAATTATATTTTTTTAAAGACTCAAAAAAAGAGAAATGTAAAACAAAAATAATAAAATGGCTAGGTATGTTAATATGTAAGAGGAACCTCAATTTGACAAATCATTTAGTTGAAGTTATTTATTGCTAATTAGGAAATTATTATGAAGCTAAATAGTATTTATTTCATTAGGACAAATACTTTTTGAAGAGATAATTTTATTGTTAAAAAGTAAATTCCATAAGACCTAAATAATCCATGGATTAAAAAAAAAACATATAATTAAATAAAATAAAATTGTATTTTATTAAAGGATCAAAAAAGAAAAATGTAAAACAAAAATTACAAAATGCTATATGGTGGCTTAATTGTTGTAGTAAAAGAAAGATCCATTTGATGAATAATTTAATTATAGAATCCTGATGGATCATTGGCACAAGCAGCCATGATGCAGTCAGCCCTTGCAAAAGAACGGAGAGAGCAAAAACAGCAACAAAGAGAGGCTGAGATGGACTCCATTCCTGCTGGATTGAACAAACATTGGATTGATCCTTTACCTGATGGTATTCCTGATGATTCATTCTTCCTCATTATTTATTCATTACTTTCCTTTTTTTTACATATACATTCATTGAACTATTCATTCTGCTGACTGTATCTCATTTTGTTCAAGCACTGTTGCAAACCTACCCCTTCCGGTCATATAATTTATAAAATAAAAATACTACTGGTTATACAATAAAATCACTACAGTGTGAGCTTACGAGTCACGGTTGTGATTTACAATTGATAGTTAGGGCTTGTAAATTTTTCTGTACAGTTACAATGTTAAAACGTCAAAATTTTTATTTCAACTCAAAATACAGTAGAGAACCAATTAACCGGGATGCTCGGGACCATCGCTATCCCGGATGTCTGAATTTCCCGGTTTTCTGGATCGGCCAAAAGTGCCGTTATTCGATGTTTTATCTAACCCAAATTACAAGGAAAAAGTTAAACATATTTAAAAATAGGGAAAAAAACGAAAAGATCTCCTAAATTTAAAAAAAATGGTAGAAATGGTTTAAAAGGATAAAAAAATTTCCAAATTTAGACAAGAAAAACAAGTTTAAAAAATACAAAATTTGCATATTTATTTTTTGATAATAATTAAAATCCCAAAATTAACTAATATAAAACAAAACCAATAATTAAAAAANCTCCTAAATTTGAAAAAAATGGTAGAAAAATAACATTTAAAAGGATAAAAACATTTGCAAATTTAGACAAGAAAAACAGGTTTAAAAAATACAAAATTTGCATATTTATTTTTTGATAATTAAAATCCCAAAATTAACTAATATAAAACAAAACCAATAATTAGAAAATGCAATATATTTCATACCTACTTATACTGGGGGGGAGGATGAAAAGAAAACTTATTAATCTAAATAAAAACAACACTTGAAAATTATGGAACAGAAACGATGTTTAAAAAAGGCACTAACATAAGTATTAAAACCTTGAAGAGACAGGATATTATAAGATAAACGGAATTAAGAAAGAAAACTTCATGATAAAATTTATGAATAAAAAGATTAATTTATTGAGTACAAAATTTATCCTAAAAGAAAAAAAGCGCAGTGGAGTCAGAAAAACAGAATCAAAATTTAAAAAAAAAAAACTACTATCTTCTTTATAAAATAATTGCCTGCTTTTATTAACAAATAATTATATGCTTAAATTAATAAACAATCTTCTCCTTTTATTTTATTTTTTTATTAAAAGACTATTTGTAAGGAAAGCAGATGTGATTGCACATCAAGAAAAACTTGCTAATGATATCGCATTTCTAAGAAATCAGAATTTATTCAACAAAAAAATATTGTTTTGTTAATTGATGTCAAATAGATAACTGGTGATTAAATAATGCATTATCTGAAATAATAAAACAATTCACCATAATAAATAACAAAACTGAGTAACTGAAGTGGATGATTTAAAATAAATCTCACATTTCACCTTTAAAATCAATAATCTTAGCCAGATGTTTCAAGTTCCTTAACTCAAACATTCATTGCTATGCCTGTGCAATGCATTTTCTCCACCCCCTCGTAAATCAAAGAGAAAACTAAATCAGCTTGCCACTCCTTTAAGTTTGATTGACGACAGCTTATCAGAAAAAGAAAATAAACACAGGAGAAAATAAAACATTTGTCCCTTCCCTGCCGCCTCTGGATCTAATGATCTTCAAGGTCAGGGGAAGAATTGAAGTTCCTCTGGGCAAGTGAGGAGAAGTATTCCCTCCTTTCCCTCTACTCTACTTTAAGTAGTACTTTAAAATAGCAAGAAAAGCAAGCAAAATTCTTCCCGGTTTTCTGGTTTCCCAGTTATCTGGATACCGGATAAATTCTCTACTGTACCAGAAATCGTTTGAAAATGTATTTAAACAAGAAAAACTTAAGTAAGTAAAAAATACGTACAATATGTGTCTTTTATCTTCTTTACAGTGCATCATTAAAAAACATATTCATATTTCAGTGATTTCATGGATTTAGTCTTAACAAAACCCTTTGGCCCTGGACAGACGCTCCTGGCCTCAGTGATAGCATGAAAGGGTTGAAAAGTTCCCAAGATATGGCTTAATACTCAAAAAATAAATTTAACATTTAGGGTTCCGACTATCAACAGCTCTTCTGACCAAACTATTTGGACCGTATTTCACAGTGTGCAAAAACTCTTAATATTTTGAAAGTCGCGATTCAAAATCCATTGGGGGGGGGAGGTATGTTTATTGTTCAGAGAAAGTACATTTTTTGACTGATTTTGTATCTTAAAATGTCGTCTGTTCTAATTTATTAACGCATATTTAGGCTCTTGAATAGTCCAAGTACATGAAATTTCGATCATTAGATAAAAATTATTTCGGGTTTTCACTTTTTCATTTAGTGCATTGTACACTAGCAGCAACTATAAAGAAAAATGTTATTTATTTTGAGTATGAATTTTTTTTATGTAATTTATAGCTGAAGGGCGTACACTGGCAGCAAATATGAGGGGTATCGGATTGTCGACTCAAGATTTGCCAGAATGGAAGAAACATATCACAGGGGGCTCTAAAGCATCCTATGGAAAGAAAACTCAGCTCACCATCCTAGAACAAAGGCAAAGTCTTCCAATCTATAAATTGAAAGATGACCTGATTAAAGTAATTATTGTTGAAATTTTTTAGTTTTTATAACTTTCGGTGAAAGTTTAAACGCATTTGTTAGAACTTTTGTTTTTATCCATCTGCTATTGATTATTTGTTTTCTCCAATTTATCCAAATTAACCAAAGTGAGCATTCATAAATTAAAATTAGGTTTGGCCTATATCTTACTAAATATCTACTTAACGCATACATTTTCATGGCAGTATAATCGCTTTCGTTTCTTGCGAAACACAGAAACTTAAACCATTTGCGATTTAAGGATATAACATTTGAGCATCCTGCCTACATTACCACTGTTACTGCACTATTGTTATTGTTACTATGTTATTGTATACTATGTTATTGTATTGTATACTATTGTTATTGTATACTATTGTTATTGTATACTATTGTTATTGTATACTATGTTATTGTTGCCTAGCTACATAGAGGGTCTTAAATCAACCCATCAGTATCATTTCAATTTTTAAAAATAATTAAGAAATATTATTGAGGTAAAGTTTCTTTTATTTAAGATTTATTTGTTTTAAATTGGTTTACGATTTCTGATTCTGTGGTTTTAAATAAAAAGAAACAATATATATGTCACCATATCACAATGTCTAAGAGATTATATAACTCAATGTAAAATTTATTACATCATTCAGTTCTAATTAAAATATGTGCCCTTATAGTGTATTCTTCAATTAGAACTTATTTAATCTTCCTGGAATAATAAATTAATATATATTTATCAAATGTTTTGGAATATTCAAACATCGGGTTCCTTTGGGTTGGATTAATTCGGCAAAATATTTATTAGTTCAACTGTAAAATTAAAAATTTTCTCTAATCTTTTTCCAAAATTTGAGCTATACCTCTTATAATTTTTTCAATCATATTAATTAGCTTCTGTGTGTCATTTTGTGAGAGAAAACATACGTGCAAAATTTTAAAAATTAAATTCAATAATAACTTAAAAGAGTATTATTTTAAATGTCCATTTTAATTAATCAAGTGTATGTTATTGATAAATACTTTGGAGAAAAAAGTTATTTTGTCTGTCTCTTTTTTTTCTAGTATGATGTGACATTTAATTTCATATTTTATTTTCCTTAAAAATTTCTTTTCATTTAACTGATATGTAATGCATGAAATATTATATTAAATTCTAAATAATATTACAAAACAATTAAGATTTTAAAACTTTCTGACTATGATATGATGTGACATTTGATTTAATATTTTTTCCTTAAAAATTTGCTTTCATTTAACCGATATATAATACATAAAATATTATGTTAAAATTGTGAATAATTTTTCGAATTTCATAATTAAGATTTCAAAAATTTTATAGGCTGTAACTGAAAATCAAATTCTTATTGTCATTGGTGAAACTGGGTCTGGAAAAACGACCCAGATGACTCAATATTTATCAGAAGCTGGTTTCACTGCAAGAGGAAAGATAGGTTGCACACAGCCTAGAAGAGTTGCAGCTATGTCAGTCGCAAAAAGAGTCGCTGAAGAATTTGGCTGCCGATTGGGCCAAGAGGTATGTATACACCCAATTATCATAATACTGTATGTTAATTTAAATCAAGGAATTAAGTTTGTAATCATTTAAGCTATCTAATTTAGATTATAATAGTTTAATTCATTTGTTTGCCGGCCAGGTGCCTGACTGTGAAGCCAATGGCTGCGGTTTTGAATCCCGCTCTGAGCGTGGATGTTTTTCTTTTTGTGTTGTCCTCTGTTGTGTGTGAATGTGACCCACCCTATGAATGGGTATTTGTGATGTAGGTATTGTTGCTCGCCTCCGTGACTTAGGTTCACAGGTGCCCACTGGGTAACTTTAAATGAGTAACACTTCAGCATTTTCTGAGGTGAGGAACAAAAGTTCAGTACCTGCCTTTAGAGAGAAAAAAAATTCCTTTGTTTAGTTTATGATAATTTAAGTAATTTATTTTGACTTATTTATTATTAATTTGTTCATTTACAGGGTGCGTTCTGAAAGTAATGCGCATGATTTTATTGTGACGTGACAATTGATCGCAGCGCACTCAGATTGGTCAAAAAATGTGGTGGGGGATTTATCCTTCCAAACAAGCCTGGTCTCAGGTCGCTCCGAGCGGTAGGACGTGTCTTTGCGCAAAATCTTTTTTTCTATAGAGTCACGCCGTGATGGAGTGTTCGTTCGCTGGAACAGAGGTACACGATAAAGTTTTGAGTGCGACTTGGGAAGAATGTGACGGAAACTCATCACATGCTTCAAGACGACTTTAAGGAGGAATGCATTTCGAGATCTCAGTGTGGAAGGTGGCACAAGTCCTCCAAGGAAGGTCACCGACGAGCTTTGTTCTGGACGCCCAACAACAGCCCGACCCGATGAAAACGTCCGGCATGTGCGTGAAGTTTTGAAGTCAGACAGTCGGTTAAGCATTCAGGTAATTGCTAACACCCTAAACTTGTCAAAATGTGTGGTACATGGGATTGTGACGAAGGATTTGCAAATGCAAAAGGTCTGTGCCGAAGGTGTTGACGGAGGAGCAAAAAGGTGTTCAAGTTTTGCGCAGTGAAGAATTGCTGGAATTGATGAGTTGATGCCCCAGCCTATAGCCCTGACTTGGAACCGTGTGACTTTTTATTGCTCCCGAGACTGAAAAGAGAACTGAAGGAAAAGCACTGGGAGTCGGTGGAGAGCATCCAAGCTCATGTTACAGGGTTCCTGAGAGGCATTCCTGTCGAGGACTTCCAGAGTGCCTTCCAGACGTGGCAGAATCGTCTCCGCAAGTGTATTGATGCACAAGGGAACTATTTTGAAGAATTTTAACCATTTGTACCCATGGGATCAATAAATCTATTTTTGCCAGAAAATGCGCATTACTTTCAGAATGCACCCTGTATACTAATTTAATTCATTTGGTTTAGTTTATGATAATTTAAGTAATCTAATATAGCTTATAACAATTTAACTTATTTGGTTAAGTTTATGCTGATTTTAGTAATCTAATTTAGATTATAATAATTTAATTTAGTTGTTTAGTTTATGATAATTTAAGTTAGGGGTGCTCAACCTGCGGCCCGCGGGCCAAATGCGGCCGCAATCTGAACAAAATGAAAGAAAAAAATTAAATATTTGTTTTTGAAAAATAATAAAAAAAATTCGGTAATTTAAATTTACACTTTTAAGTTTTTGACGCACCCAATCTCAATCAATGTAGTTTTTCGATGGTTAACGCTACGGATTTCAGCATAGTTTTAAAAATCCCAATATTTTTAATACATCATTATTACGATTTACGAATTTTAATTATCCCTTTTGACGCTTTTCGTATGTGCCGATTCCAATGACTTTTAGGTAGTTATTGCTACCCATTTTCAAGTAGTTTCTGAAATAACGATTTTTGAAAGTTATGAAACGCTTTATTTGTGCAAACTTCATGGAAAATCTAAATGACTTTAGATCCTTTCTTCAAGATCCTTTCTTGTTATTGCTGCACATTTCAGCCCGGTTTTTATAACTTCGATATTTTAGCATGATATTATTACGAATCGCGAGTAAAGAATCGCTCATTTAGATAACCATTTTTTGACATGGCTTATTTGTAACGATTTTATCGCAAATCAAATTATTTTTCAATTGTTATTTTAGAAATTATTGCTACACATTTCTACAAGGTTTTGAAAGTACCGATATTTTTTATACACTATTGGGACATTTTAATTTCAAATCTCGCATTTAAATTACATAAAATTTGGACTTTATTTACTCCAATTTCATCTAAAATATTGAAGTATTTTGGTTATTGTTTTAGTAGTTATTACGTTTTCCCCGTGATTTAAAAAGATTATGATATTTTTAATACTATGGTTTGACAGCAAGCGAGTTTTGAATCGCGCATTAAAATAATTATTTTTTATGTGCTCTGTTTGTGCCGATTTTATCATTTGCGTTGTACCGATTTTAACACGCATTTTTTAAGAGGTTTTTCGAACGTGTTTTTTCTTCTTTCCCGTTATTGCTGCATTTTTATTTGTGATTTANAAAAAAATTTCAATTTTTCCATAGTTTTTTAATTATTTCAATTTATCTAAATTTTTTCTGATAAATTGATTCTGATTTTCGAATTCTGTTTTCCTTCTTAAGTAATCAGTTTTGCATTTTCTAATTTTAAACGTTTTAAAGTATTGTATTTTCTGCAAAGAGATTACAAGGTTAACCGACAAAAAGAATTTAGTGTTATATAAACAATGATGTTTATATAACAATCACCACCAACAATTGCTTTCAATATGTCGGTCTAAACACTTTGGCATGCGGCCCTTCATTGGTCAATCTGCTGTGCATGTGGCCCTTCACTGAAAAAGGTTGTGCACCCCTAATTTAAGTCATTTATTTTCGTATATAATGATTTGAATAATTTTGTTTTATAAAAAATATTTTAATGTAGTGTATACTATATTAAATATTATTGAATATTTATTAATTCTCCTTATTCTGCAATAAATTGTCCAAAGAAGAGATACTTTAGTCTGCATAGCACAAAATATTCCCTATCCTTTTGGAAATCTTATTTAATTCAGAATAATTTTAATTTAATTTATCGAATCCCATCATTTGACCTCTAGGCCATTTGATCTCTTGCTCTCAAATGCTTCTTCACTCATTGAAGAAAGCAGTTGGTGCAGGACTCTCATCCAAATACGAAACAGTCATTTCCTGGTATGAGAATTATATATGCTTAAACGAAAAAGATGCGTGCGAAAACAGTCATGCTCTGTCAAGAGTCCAAAAGTTGGTACTACTGCAGCATATAGTGTGTTAGAAATCACAATAATTTAAAGCATCTTATGGAATAGTAATGTAGAAACATAATCGAAACAATAATTTAAAGCATCTTATTTAGTTTAAGATAATTTAAAATGCTTATTTAGATTATAAATTGAAATTGACTCTTATACCATTAAGTTCATTTTTAATTGTTTTTAATGTATAATTGTGCTTATTTTTAGATTAAGAAATGAAAAATTATAAATTTTCTACGAAAGTTTTATTAGAACTTTTTTTTCAACATTTTTTTACGTCATAAAACCTAAAGAATTATTTTGTCTTTTTTCTGGTCAGGTTATCTGAACTAGAAAATGTTTTAATAACATTTCATATCTCTTTTTTAGGTTGGTTACACCATCCGTTTTGAGGATTGTACTAGCCCTGAAACTGTCATCAAGTACATGACAGACGGTATGTTGCTGAGAGAGTGTCTTGTTGACCCTGACCTGAAAAGTTATGCGGTTGTGATGTTGGACGAAGCTCATGAGAGGACAATTCACACTGATGTGCTGTTTGGTCTATTGAAAAATGTAAGATATTGACTGTGTTACATAGCTGCCAACCCTGTGGCAGAATCGTGGCGACATTGTCGCAGAACATTATAGAGCTCTTGTAAAAAGAAATTTTTATTTGGGGTTTAGAAGTTAGGTTTTTTTTTCTGTAAAAGTTTTTGAAATATTTTTTTCTGCAGAACTTCTCAACCCCTTCCTGCAGAATTATATTCAAGAAATGTTTTTCTCACATAGAGGTAGAAAAAATGCTCATGATTTTTTTTTTCTACTTTCTTTTGAGAATATCTGGCTTTAGCTAGAATTAGATTGATATTATAAAAAGTAATAATGGCAAAAATTTCAAAAAGGTTAACTATGCAAATATTTTTTTTTAAACACAAGAATATCACCAATAATATTAGAATATGTATTCTTTTATATGTAGATTAAAAAAGTTCTTACATTTATAATTAAAGAAATTATATACTGTTCTATTTTATAAGGCTTTTTTTTCAAACAGAAAGTGCTTCTGTGACTTTAAATTAGTAACATTTACATTTGTTACTATTAAAAATGTCTCTCAGAAAAGTATTAGTACTAGAGACAATTGTCGCAGAAAGTTCAAAAAAATTCTGCCACAGGGGCTACCAACTCTACTGGATTTACCAGTAGACTACTGGATATTGCCACTTTCTCTTGGTTTACTGGTTTAATCAAATTTCTCCCAGCTTTCATGCATTTTTAGAAAATTCCTTAAAATTAAATTTCCTAAAAAAATCCCTTTTGAAGTAGAATTTTTCACAGTTTATAGCATGCTCTAATATTTAACTTAATGTTACATAATGCCCTTTGCACTACTGCACTTTTTCAATACTTAAATTAATGTTACATAATGAATATACAAATACTGAATACTACAATTGAAGCTCGCTTCAATTGTAGTATTCAGTTTAAAGCTTTTCTTTCTTCTTTAAGATTTTCTGTTTATTTTTATTTGGAACTCTCTTTGTAAATTAATTAAAATATCTTTAATAAACTATCAATAATAAATTACTTATCTATTATTATAAAAAATTACAAGTTAACATAAGAAAAAGCATTTCAAGTTCATTTAATGTCGATCATAACTGGTAAATATTACTTACTTTTAATTAAATATTTGTATTTTGATGACAAAAAAATTCCTTATATTTAAAATATTTAGTATATAATACAACAGTTAGCATGTAGTTTATATTATTTCATAAAATCTACTGGATTTTTTGCTGTAGCTATGGTGTTATTTTTAATAATGTTTTCATAATCACCAATAGGCATAAATTGTATAATATTTGTTATTTATTTTATTATTGTTTATCTACAGGCTGTGAAGCGCAGACCAGAACTGAAACTTATTGTTACATCTGCCACATTAGATGCTGTGAAATTTTCTCAGTATTTCTTTGAAGCAGTAAGTATAATTTTTTTTTCTTTTCGTGTCAGTTTAAATTACATTTATACTGTATTTTAAATTGATGGCATAAAGTATTCAGTGTGGGAGAAATATATAGAAGGCTCTTATGTCTCTATTCCCCCTTCATCACTGCATCATACTCTACTGTTTTTCACAAGAGAATCATCGTATTGTACTGCTATTACTTAATGATTTTCCATATTTAGACTATTTTCTCTCCTTTTTTGTATAAAAATAAATAAATTAATAAATTTTTGTGTAACTCAAAAAAAAAGAAAAATTCTATTTTTTTAAAAAAATTTCCCCCCCACCTAAGTGCAAGAGCTACGAAAACTATTATCAATTGTATATCTGCGAACCCATGTTGATATTGTACAAATTGCTTACATTCGAGATTCGGTACATCCTTAAATTGTTCTTAAGTTTGGAGGCAATATTGTACTTAGTTTTTATATTTTGGACTTCCAGCTCTGCTTATTATTGTTTTAAAAGTACATGATTGTTTATTACTTTTGATTTCATATTAAGTTAGTTGTGAGCAATATCATTTTAATCTTCTTAAAAAAATCTTTTATTAAAATTGCAGTCTGTGTAATTTTAATTTACAATTTGTAATGTTGTAAATGCCTATAAAGTTTAAATAGTGTGTAGAAAGATAGAAGAAATCCAGAAATTACTAGTAAAGATTAAAAAAAAATTTTTTTTGCTGCACTGTTATTTGTTCTATAAGTTTTGATTTCATATAAAAATATATTTTATCTAAATGCAAGATTTACTAAGAATGATGCATGATTTGATTAAAAATAATGTTGTTGAACTTTAAATAAACTTTATTGTTGCTGTATTTTTGATTTTGGTGTTAAGTAACCCTTTTCTCTAAAGTTACCTCTTTCCTCAGAGGTTTTGCCTTTACTAAGTAAATATGGATTCCATAACCTTAAAATGCTCCTGTAATATTTTCTCTTTTTATCTGATTTTTTCCCTACTCCTGTGATATTTTCTCTTTTAATCTAGTTTTTCCCTACTCCTGTGATATTTTCTCTTTTAATCTAGTTTTTCCTTTTTATCTGTTTTTTTTTCCTGTCAAACATAACTCAAAAACATATTAAATTATGTTTCTCCACTGTTAGATACTGTTGTGACTTCTATTTCACTCATGCTTACACTTTTAAGGCTACTCTGTTCATGCTTTAATGCAAGCAAGGTCTTTTTTAAAAGTATTGATAAGACTAATTACCTTTTTATTTCTTGATCTGCTCCATAAAAATGTTTCAATCTTTCTTTTTTTAAGTTGATTAAAAATTTGCATAATCTTTTTGAAGCAAAGATGGCCAAATACTTGACAGCTGTAAATTATAAAATTGTTTTGTGTATAATTCTACTGAAGTTTAGAACTTAGTTTGTTTCGTTTAGAATTCTGGAGGAAAAAAAAAAATTTTTTTTTTTTTTCTTCTTTTGATAATTTGACTTTATTACTTTCACTGCGAATTCTGAAAATTGATGTTGAGTGAGAAATTGTAATTAAATTGCCTCACCTGTTTTTTTTTTTTTCTTTTTTTTTTTTTTCATTTATTTTTTTGTTTATTACTATTATTATTTTTTGTATTTTTAACCAGTTGATTTTAAAATGCTCATCAAAAATAATTTTGTTTGATAATTTCCCCTTATTATAATATTTTTTTATTTTGATATTGTTTCGTACATTCAACTACATATTTATTATTTTAGCCTATATTTACCATTCCTGGACGTACATATCCTGTGGAAATTTTATATACTAAAGAACCAGAAAATGATTATTTGGATGCTTCTTTAATCACAGTTATGCAGATACATTTAACTGAACCAGTAGGCAAGTATTAAATAATATTGATTCTTGATGCTGCAAATACCTCTGATATTTCAAACATGTTTAATTAATCTTGACACATTTCTTTAATTATTATTATTGCTATACCTGTGTAATCTTTTTTTTTCAATCAGTTATTTTCTAAGAACTTTAATTGCAGTGGTTGGGTGTTATTTTTCTGTTTTCTTTGGTCTTCACCAGATTTTCTTATTAAAATTAATTTTAATGTGTTATTAACCGTTGTACATTTGTTTCTGGTTTTTCCGTTAATTATTTCCATAACTAATTAGTATTTTCTGGTCAACTGTTTCACTGAAACCGTTAAATAGTGTAACCATAAAGCTGATATTTATGTTGATCAAGTACAAGTCTTTTAGTTACATGTAATTGGTTTAGAAACATATATTATTAATTCTAATACAGTTGAAAAAACTGGATCATGTTAGATTGAATAAATATTTCTTGATGACTGATCACTTTTGAATAAGCCAATTTTTTATTCCGAACGATTTTAAACATGTGGGTAAATTAAATTCTCAAACCAAGCTCGTCTTCTAGAAGTAATTGAAATAGTGACTACATTTCCAAAGTAGTTTGTAGTCGCTACATTTAAAAAAAAATAGCTGTAGTTGTAGTTAACTACAAAAATAATGTAGTTTTTCCAACCACTGTTATTAAGGGCACACCTATTAAGAGCAGAGATATAAAATTGTATTTTTTAAGTTCTCCTTTTAACCAGTGATTCTGCTAGATTTTTAAAACTACTGACTCTCTCCAAAACTTCCATATTTCTTGTTCCTTTTTTCCTAAAATTTGATCCCTATTTAAAATAATATAATTAAAAAAAACATTTAATTTTTGAAAGTAACAAAATTTAATATGAAATTTTAAAAATTTGTTGCGCAAATTTATAGTGCATCTCAAAAATTTAAGAAAGGAGTATTTAAATCTAAAATTAATTAAAAAAAAAGAAAATTTTAAATCTAAATGGAAAAAAGTATAGAAATCTGATTATCAAATTTTTATTATGTTTTTATTAAATAAAATTTGATTATGATTTAAAATTTTAGCTATCTGATTGCTCTGCACTGAAATAATCTAGGAAGGGCTACTCTGAACGCTTCTGACTCACAGCAATTTTTAGTCGTCTTAACGTTATCACTTATAGTTAGTTTAAAAACAAAATTTTGCTAGTATATGTTTAAGTAATATAGTGTGACTTGTGACAAGGAGGAGAAAGGTGATGCTTTGTGACAAAAGGTAAGACGGGGGTAAAATGTATTTAAAAGAAATAATAACACTTATAGATGACCCCTAATTGTATATTCTATTAAATTAAATTATAAAATTATTGACAAAATTTTGTTTTTATTATCAGGTGATATTTTGCTTTTTTTGACTGGTCAAGAAGAAATCGATACGGCCTGTGAAATTCTATATGAAAGAATGAAGTCATTAGGCCCAAAAGTACCAGAACTGATCATACTACCTGTTTATTCTGCTTTACCAAGTGAAATGCAGACTCGCATTTTTGAACCTGCTCCCTTAGGATCAAGAAAGGTCTTCATTTTTATTTTATTTTTTTATTTCACTAAATTAAAAGTTTTTTAGTTTAATTTTACAATGTATTATTTTATTTATTTCATCTTATTTATATATTTTGCATTTGCCTCTTCTTTTTTTTAATTTAAAATTGAAATTACTTAAATACTGTAATTTTAAAGCTATTTATAACCATGAAGACGTTTTTTTTTAATTGAACATGTTAAATATACGAATTTAGTTCATTAATATTGTATTTTGACTGATAGAAAACTTTTTATTTATCAGTTGCTTCACCAAAAGTGAATAAACTAAACATGAACCAGAAATAAATTGTTTTGCATTAAATATGGTTCTCATGAAAATTGGACATAAACTGTCAAAGTGATAATGATTTTAATGCCACCAAACAATTAATGAAATAGTTCTTGCCTAATAATTATAAGCTTTTTTATAATACAATTGAAATCGGAGCCGCAATGGCTCAGAGCGTTCACCTTCTAATAAGGTGGACGAGATTTGATCCCGGCGATGGCTGATCAATACGAATTCCACATCCGGCTTTCACCGGCCACAGTGCTAACATAAAATATCCTCAGTGGTTGACAGATCATGGGTTTGAGTCATCTTGCCGCCAGGCTATCTATGGTAGGTTTACATTGTTTTCCTCTCCATGAAACGCAGATGCAAATTAGTCAAAAAGTCTTCCACAAAAGCAAAATTTCTCCCACTTCTTGATCCAGCCCTTGTCTTCTGGATTGGGTTCAATATTACAAGGCTATGGAGTTGAACTTTAGCAGTCGTAAACCCAAGAAATTGGGTCGTCTGTTTAACGACGGCTATAAAATAAAATACTATTAAATAAATAATAATAATCATACCCTAATTGTCATCTTGATTTCTCTGAAAGCTAACTTAATCTTTGTTTCAGGTTGTAATAGCTACAAATATAGCTGAAACATCCCTTACTATAGATGGCATTTATTATGTAGTTGATCCAGGATTCGTGAAACAGAATGTTTATAACTCTAAAACAGGAATGGATTCCTTAGTTGTTACACCTATATCACAGGTTTGTAAAAATGTTTGTTAATTTTTTCTCAGTTTTTTTAAACATTATTTAGACACTGTCTTTGTAGAGCAGGGGTGATTGTATTCTGGAGGTATCCCGAAATTCCGAGTTTTTTATAGTATCCTTCCCGGTCTAAAAACAAGGGGTAGTGCATGTGATTTTTTTGTAATATTGCAAAATTCTGTGTTTCTCAAGACCACTGGCTCTCGGACTTTCGCTAATCAGAAACTTAAAATTCAGCAAAATGTTCACAGAATTCCACTATCTAAAATCTAAATTTTGAAACTTTTGCTATATCTTGCTTGCGAGAGGCTTACATAAACGTGATTATTTTGGTTTGGTAAATTTACGCCATTTTGAATATTTAAAACTGCACTGGGATCCTCTAATATTGTGATTCCTATTCACACGGTTTGAATATCAAACATCGATATATATATTTACATAATTTGAAAGTTGCTCGTTGCGATTCGTATTCATGTGGTTTAAAAAGTCGTACATCATAATTCGTATTCATGCAATTTTAAAATAATATATTCACGCGATTTCAAAATCCAATATCATGTGATTTTACCATAAACAATTTTTAAACCTACATAACAGTATTGAAATATGCATCCTGAAAAAAGAGTAGCCCGCGATGGATTCTCAAAGAAGCTAATATTAGTGTGAAGAAATGTGCTAGCTAAAAAATCTAATTTAGTGCTTGTTACTTTTACTTTGACAACAAAAAAATATAATCTACAAATTAATATAGTATGTGCTAAAAACATAGACATCCTAATAAATCTACCATTGTAACTAAGTAGATTTTGTGCTAAGTTTCTTTTTTTTTTTTAATGTATGTTTTGCAAAGACCAAAACTGGATTCCATTACTTTTTTATTTCCTTTAATTTTGCCACATCAAGCTGTTAATAAATAACTTGCAAAAATTACTATGTAAGGCTTAACTATTATTTTTCAGCTGTTTACCTAAAATTTATAAGTTTTTAAAAGAAAAATAATGTATGTATCTTTAATTTTTTATTTAATTTCTTAAAATATCTATGTCATTTTAATTAAAAAATTTGTTTTGAAAATAATCTGTTATAGGCTCAAGCTAAGCAAAGAGCTGGCCGTGCAGGAAGAACAGGTCCAGGGAAATGTTATCGTCTCTACACTGAGAGGTCGTACAGAGATGAGATGCTGACCACTCCAGTACCGGAGATCCAGAGGACAAATCTCGCAGCCACTGTTCTGCAGCTCAAAGCAATGGGAATAAATGACCTGCTGTCATTTGACTTTATGGACGCTCCTCCACCAGAGGTACATTCTATTTTCATAATATTAGAATTTTAAAGAGTACCCTACTTACACTCCAATGTTAATGTGTCATTTAATATTTAGTTTTTGTGCTGTGCTTAAATCAAATTTATTTTTATATGATTAAAAAAAATTTTATCATTAAATGATTACAATTATTATTTTTTAATTATGGTGTGCCAAAACTTTAATTCATCCTATAATATGCTATAATTTAATTCATGCTACTATGTTTTTTTTTTTCTTTAAAAAGAAGTTTTGCTAATGCTGTACATATCCAATACAAAGCATAGGTGCCTAAGAATCCGTAAATGAAGGTCAAATATTTATAAAATATCAGAACATCAGATTATAAAATTTTAATCTTTCTCTATTCAACTGGTTAGTGTGATTTTCATAATTATAATTTATCATGTTAAATTAAATTAGTCTCACTGTGGACTGATTGTTAAACATGAATCACCCAAAGTCTAACATCATTGGCAGCAATGAGTGGGTGACCACTTTGATCATTCCGCTAAGGGACCAAGGGTGTGTGATATCAATCCTTGTTAAACTGCTGTCCAGTAAAGTGCTCTACTTTGACCTCAAGTCGTCATGCTGTCAGCGCAGGTAAGCCACTCCTTTGCTGAGGATCCAAATTGTGAGGACCTGTCTTCAAATTATCCTCAAGAAGAGGCACAGTCACTTTTCCCCCAATTTCTTAAAGGTTACTATGGAATATTACTCATCTGGATTAATTCAAACCTCTGATCAACAAAATATTTTCCTAATTAATAAAAATAAGTTATTTCTAGAAATTATAAAAAAATTTGCGTACATTGCATTCTTATTTCAATAAACCATGAAAAGTTTGCAGACAATTTCTCACCACAAAGTATTTAACTCTCATTTGTAATATTTGTTTTGTGGCATATATTTATACATAACTACTTAGATGTAAATCTAAAGAACCTGAATAACCTAATTATTTTTATTTTGACAAAAATATATTATTAAAGTTGTAACTTTATTGGTTGTTTTTCGAAATGAGTAATAATAAACTTTATTTCATTTCAGTCTCTGATAATGGCTCTTGAACAGTTGCATTCCTTAAGTGCTTTGGATGATGAAGGGCTTTTAACACGACTTGGACGACGGGTAATATAGGCAATTCATTCTAAAGAAATAATAAGATTGTTAACTTCATGCTTTGATTGTAGCTGTAAATGTCTTATCTAATTCAGTCAACCACTAAGAAATTAAATGTTGTTGGATAACTGAGTTTAAATAAGGTTTTTTTTAAATTAAATCTTGGTTTTTAAATTTGAATTGCTGTAGTAATGTATTGTTTTTATGAAATTTAAATACACACAGATTGTAATTGTAATGATCCCGAAAGCTATCTATTTCTCAATTTTATTTCGGAGTTCTGAATATTGTATCACATAGTTTTCTCATCAATGTTTTTTAAGTAATGAAGGTCATGAACTACAATTACTATTTAATTAATGAAGGAAAATGAAAGAATTAATCTTAAAACAAGTTTGAAGAAGCAATATTGCAGCAAAAAGTCCAATATTTTCAATAGAATTACTTTGAAAATTCTTCATTTAATAATTGCAATATCTGCTTCATTCTTTATACATTATGTAGAATAATTCATCTTAAAACAGGTTAGAAGAAGTAATATTATTAGCAAAAAAAAAAAAAAACATTTTCAATAGAATTATCTTTTGAATTCTCTATTTAATAAATTAAATATGTGTTTTACTCTTCACACATTATTTCGTTAAAATATGGATACCAGAATAGAGTATTGTTTTGGCATTGCTTTTAAACAATAGGTCTTTCGGATTATTTGTTGCCTTTTTTTTATTTAACACTACAAGGCTGGGGTTTTTGGACGTCCTAAGCTGGTTTTCGAAGAGACACATGGGTTTTACTGACTAAAACTGTCTTAAAGTGTCCAAAACCCTGAACACTTGTAAAAGGTAAAAATTCTATATGTGTAACCATTGTATGCATAGTAATTACATTCAGTAATAAGTATTTGATACTTTTTATACAATTTGTTTTAACTTATTAAAGGAAAATAATATAATATAGTACTAAAAGATTTATAACTTTTGAAGCTCCACAATTCAATGAATAACAAGAGTGAATACCTTATGTTTTAAATAAGAATAAATATGCTTTTAATACTGATAAGTTATATTTTTGCAAAAGGATAAATAATGCAATATTTAAAATAATAAACTTTTTTAATGAAACAAGCACTTATCTTCTTTCTGGTTTTTGTTCAAAAATTAATCTTTTAATTTTCACAATAATTTTTTTTTTTTTAATTTTGACATAATTTGGAAGAAAAAAAAAGGTTTAGAACAGTTTAAGACAATTTTGGACAAATGTGTTTTGGACAGGATTGTTTAAACTGTGGATTAATCCATTATCTCCTAAACCTTACCTACTCTGATTATAAGTATAAGTATGTGTACTAATATTTGTTTTTGTTTTTTTAAATCTAGATGGCAGAATTTCCTATGGAACCTAGTCTTTCAAAAATGCTTATAATGTCAGTGCATTTGGGTTGCAGTGAAGAAATTCTTACAATTGTTTCTATGTTGTCTGTTCAAAATGTATTTTACCGACCAAAGGTATATTTACGCCTTTTTTTTCTTTTAATTGCTTAACATTGTTTCTCATTTTTATGAACAATAATAGTTTCTAGTCTATCTTAGTTTGTATTTTAAGAAATGAAGAAAATTAAGTTCCAATTATAAATGGAACTTATTATTATTCTAATACATTTCAATGGTAGTTTAAAGTTGCAAAAGAAAAGTCTATTAAGTTTAAAAAATTTTACTTTTTTATACATATATAACTTTCCTGCAATAAATTTTACATTTTTAATTATAAATACTACTTAATAAGTTAGGTTGTCAATCTTCTATGGATATTTAAAGGTATATTTCGTTTATAACAACTGTGTATCTTTTAAGTTTTGATTAAATGATAATAATTGTTAATAATCTTTTACTGCTGAAAATATTGATTGTTTCTGAGAAATTGCCAATATAGCTGTTCAAAATATATTTGGCCTGTTTAGAATCGCATTTTGTCAATTATATAAAAATACTTATAACCAGATTATTAAATCTCCATCTCTTGTACTCATCACCGACCACCTTCAACTTTTAGCTTTTTTATTAATAATAGAATGTTCATTGGGGAATTACTTATTCCAAAAATATTACTAACTACTTGAAAGATACAAACCACTTTACCTCTAAAGGTCAACTATTATTTTAACAACCATGATTCTTTAAACAATCTAGAGCTCAAATATATATCGTCATCCAAAATTTTCTTTGTTGTAACAAATTAATTTTTTTATGACTGAAATTCATTATTGTGAACTATCAAGAAATAACACTAAACTAACCAACATCCACGTTATAACTAATGAGTAGAAAGAAATTTAAAAATATATATATACTAAATTTATTCAAAATTTTTTTAATTAAAAAAAAAATTTTATACATGCGTTAAAATTGTATCAAACCATTTATCTCATAGCACTTCATTACCATTCTGGTGTTACTTTAAATTTCCAATCATTTTACATAGGCACTATTAATTTTTTTTTCATTTTGCACATATTGCCTATTCAACCCAACTAACCAAATCATATTTCCATGAGAAAAAAAAGGTTGAAAGTCATAATGATAAACTTTTCAGTGAATTCCAGAATCAAGATTAGTTTGATAACTTCCGTGAGTTCTTTCTTAATTTCTGCAATTTCAATAGCCATCTGCAATAGTTAAAGGGTTATAAGGTTAAAATAATAAGGTTTAGAATTTTTGAAGTCATTAATTACAGTCCTAGTTAATAAATAGATGGAATAAAATAATGTTATTAACCACTTTTTTTCTTCTAATGTGTGAAAATGTAAAGAAATGTATCTATGCTATTCAATGTGTCGTATATTTCAAGTATTGCTATTAATTATTATGTTCCAGAAAGTGAAAGATTATTATGCATTAGAATTGCCCTCATACCATAAATACCAATTAACTTCCTAACGCACAGATTTTTTGCAACAAGAAAACGCACTTTAGAACATTGTCTTTTCTTTGGGTGGACAATTTTGATATACTGCGCTTTTGTTTCATGGAAAAAGGCTATATTCAGAGATGCCAACTGCTCCAAACTCGCCAAAATAATTTTTAAAAAACGGTAAATAACTACAAAGTAAATTTTCCAAATGACTATTTTTGCTTGCTTTTTAAAAGGTATAGCATGACATAAGTACTATAAAGTGGTGAATTATGTGAGCCTACAAATTATTTAGAAATAGTAGTGGATAAAAATCTACTAAATTGAATTTATTAAACCAAGAATCACAACTGATTAACTACCATTTTAAAATAGATATTTGCTGTCCGGAGCAAGTTGGCATCTCTGTATATTTTATTCTTGAATAAATAAGTGTTATAGCTTACAATCCTATGTGAATGATAAATATCAATAAAACGATTTTTTTTCTTAGCTTTCACATTGTTATTTTCAATTCTCGATTATATTCCAGTGTGAAAAATTATAGCAGCTTAAAATACAACGCCACTCGAATTATCTCAAGTGTGCACAGTTTGGCCTGTTTAGCACGCTCAAATTAACTCAAGCTCACAAGTTAAGAGGTTAATGGATGGTGCATCAACCAGAAAAAAACTACTTTTTAAATCTGATTATTTGCAGTCAACAATTTAAAAAAAATATGCAAATTTTAAAAAAAGGGTAAACTTTCTGCCATAAGTAATTAAAAATTAGTTTAAATTTTAAAAAATAAAAAAGTATATTTAGGTCTAAAAAAATTTTCAGAAACTTAATAGAATTTTTGCATCGTTTAATTTCTACTTTAAAATGCATATACACATTTTATTTATTTATTTTAACTATGATAGTAGACAAGAAAGAACCACTTCATCATACTGATATTTCCTACTCTGTTATTTGTATAATGTGTAATAAATATAAATTTGTTAAAATTACATACCATAAAAAATATACCCATGAATGATTTAATTTATTTAAAGCAATTTAACCAATAAATTTTATTGTTGTTAATTGTCCGAATTTATTTTCAGATACTATATATTTTTCAAAATTACAAATTTTTCGAGATCATTATATTAAAATCTAACCAATGCTTAAAAAAATAATTATTATCAAATGTCCCAATTTATTTTGAGCTACTACGAATTTTTACATATTTTTTAAGACAATTTATATTAAAATCTAACAAATGTTTAAAAATCAGTTGTCCTAATTTATTTTCAGCGACTATATATTTTTAAATATTTTTCAGGACAAGCAAGCTTTAGCTGATCAAAAGAAGGCAAAATTTAATCAACCTGAAGGAGATCATCTAACACTGCTTGCTGTTTACAACTCATGGAAAAACAACAAGTTTTCTAATGCTTGGTGTTACGAAAATTTTGTGCAGATCAGGACACTGAAAAGAGCTCAAGATGTCCGGAAACAACTATTAGGAATCATGGATCGGTGAGCGTTTCTTTTTAAATCTTGACCTTTTAACTATTCATGGGATGTTAATGTTTCATACATATTTAGATGAAACTTGCTTGGAAAGTTAATGTAATGTCTCCTAGTTGTAAAATTCAAGAAAAAATTTCATGAAGTTAGATTTGTAATATTTTAAATATTAATCTAAGAAAATAAGTCAATTATTTTTTTTAATGTTTATTTAAAATATACCTAGTTGTGAATTCAATTAACTTCATGGATAAAGCTCCCCAGAAAATGTGTAAAAAAATTATTAAAATTATCTGAGTATAGTAGAATAATTGATAGAATGTGCTGTTAACTAAAAAAAGAAGAAAAGAAGAAAAAAAACAGGGAAAAGTCCCATTTGGAATTGTCTGAACTTCGACAAAACTCTATTTTCCGGATACTAGGAATTTTTCAGATAAAAAAAATAACAAATGCGGGATAATTAATCTCAATTATATGCAATAGCGTGTTCTTATAGGTTGATTGACATTTTTAAAAAAAACTAAAGAATGTTTTGTATGATAAAATATATATTTATAAAAAATAAACAAAATTGAGCAGAGGATAATTTGAGCTTTTCTCTTCCATGAATTAAGATATGTTTTTCTCTTCATTTTTTTTTTTTTTTTTCGAATATTGTGAGAAAATTTCAACAGAAATAAAAATAACATTAAAAAAACGAGCCTATAATTCAAAATGTAAATTTATTCTTACTTCAAGTTTCAATCAGGGAAACTTATCTGGGAAAATTAAAATTTTATTCATACATTTTTACATAATTTTAAACATTTATTTCAGACATAAATTAGATGTTGTATCGTGTGGCAAAACGACGGCTCGTGTTCAAAAGGCTATCTGCAGTGGTTTCTTTCGAAATGCAGCTAAGAAGGATCCCCAGGAAGGCTACAGAACTTTGGTAGATGGACAGGTTGTTTACATTCATCCTTCCAGCGCTCTATTCAATCGTCAACCAGAGTGGTAAGATTTCTTTCTAACTCCTTTTTTTTTTATTAGTGAAAAAAATACATTTTTGATTGGAAGGTGTGTCAGGTCAAATATACTTATTTTGCTATCATAATGATTATTAGCTGTGAATTAAATTTTTAGTTTAGATATATTTCCTCTGTATTAATTTTTAATACTTATTTATTTATTACAAATGACCAGAAAACAGACTGCAAAGTTACATTATTAATAATGTTGTAGTCATTTAAAAACTTTTATTTCAAAAATGATAAAGTATTTTATGATCGAAATATCTGTTCTCTTCGTAACACAATTTTTATACTCCTTTTTTACTGAATAAATAGACAAACTAATTCAAAAATTCACTTGGATCAGTACGGCTGCTAGCGAAAATAAGCTCCATTTATAAATAAAGTGAATTACCTAATTTTTTTAAATAATCAAACAAACCATTCCAGAAGTTCACTTGGTTCACTATATCGACTAACGAGAAAAAGCTCTGTATAAAGATAAGATGAATAACAATTGTGTTTAACATTAATTGCCAAAAATGACTAAAATAAATTGGGAATTCATTATTTGCAATGCATTTAAGACAGCTTTAAGTTTCTTTTCATAAATAGGCTTACACATTAATGTTGTTACCTCAGCATTAATGTTGTTGCCAAAAAAGTTTCCGGAAATGCCATAAATTTGTGTTAGATTAAATTTTCATTGCTTATCATTATAAATTAAAATGTTTTATATTTTTATATTAAATTGTAATTTGCTTTGTAGTTAGGTATGCAAAAAAGAATAAGAAAAGGAAAATTCAACTCCTTACTTTTAACTACAACTTCGTATTACTTACTTTTTACGCCCTAAAAATACTCCTTACACTTTTTTACCAACTTGAGGTTTAGAATTAAGTTGGGGTTTGTTTTTTTTTCTGTTACAAATACTCAAAATGTGTATTGTATTAATTTGGTTGTAATGCTTGATTTACTAAATGAATAGCTTAAAACAGGTGTAATAGACTCAGTAACTTTAAGGGCTTTTTTTAGTAAAAATACTCTACTCTATTTTTAGGGTTGTGTATCATGAATTAGTCCAGACTACTAAAGAATATATGAGAGAAGTTACAACAATTGATCCTAAGTGGATGGTTGAGTTTGCTCCTGCATTCTACAAATTTGCTGATCCAACTAAACTTAGCAAACACAAGAAACAACTAAGATTAGAACCTTTGTACAATAAATATGAAGAACCAAATGCCTGGAGAATATCAAGAGTCAGGAGGAGAAGAAATTAGAATAATCCTTCTTAAATTATTTGTGTACAAAGAATGTAAATATTTAGGGCACAGACTGTAAATACTTGAAGAATTATCCTTTGTAATGAATAAAGGGTGTTCCTTTTTATTTTTCTAGTTTTTTGAAATATTACATAATCAATGCATGCAAATGTTGGAGTATGGTGACTACAATATTATATACATAGCTGTCAATTCTACTGGATTAGCCAGTTTCTCCTGGTCTTCTGGTTTTATAAAAATTCTCCTGGTTTTTGTACATTTTAGAAAATTCCCTAAAATTGAGTTGTTTCCTAAAAAATCCCTATTAAAATAGAAATTTTGCACAGATTATTGGTTCTTTGAATATTGAAATAAGTATTACTAACACATAATGAAGCTAGCCTTGTGTAAAGTAATCAGTTTAAAACTTTTTTGTTCAAAAATGCTCACTTTATTTTTATTTCGAACTCCCTTTTTAAAATAATTGAAAAATGCCTATTACTATTCAAAATTATGAATTAGGCTAATACCTAACATTTCAAGTTCATTCGATTTCAGTCATAACTGGAAAATATTGCAGTTTTTCTATTTTGATGACTATAAAATGTATAATATGTGTATAATATTTAATACATTAGGCAATAATTATCATGAAATTTATATTATTTCTTAAAATCTACTGGATTTTTTTCCTATCCATGTTCACAGCTATGTATAAAGCTTTACCTGAGAGTTTGAGTAATTCTTTGTAAGACTATTCTATTTAATTTGAAACTTTGAAGTACCAAAATAAGTTTACAAAGTAAACTTTATCATCAAGGATAATTTCACTTCTTTCAAGTTCCTCAACTATAATAGATAATTAAATATTTTGTATCATTAAAAAAAATTTTATAAATATAAATTTACTCAATGAATTATTATGATCTGTGATTCTGAATTGTTACTATTTTTTTCAAAGTATTCATTTTACGAACTGAATATATATTTTATTTTTTCAAACATTCTAAATATTAAATATTTTTTAAAATATTCTTTACAATTGTGATTCTTGAAAAATAAAGTAAAATTGGTTCTGATTATCCAGAATTCTGGAGTAAAACAGTTGCATTGTTCATATTCATAATGTCCTATTTGCAAGAGTTTAGAAATTTAAAATGTTGAAATACGTTATAATTTAACATGAGTTCAATCGATAATACCTTGCAGAAACAAAACTTAATTCACTTAAATTTGAATTAACGATTGTAAAAGAATAATATTCGTTAACAATTCGTTAAGAAATCCTTTACTACTCATCCATTGAATTGGTTGTAAAAAATGAAAAAAAAATACATCTTTATCTTCCCTTCTTCTTTTTTGTAGTTATTGAATAAGCTTTTCCGTATATGCTAAACGTTGAGCTAAAACAAATTAGTTTCTTGAGGGCAATATAGAGTCAACTAACTTATTTCTTGTTTTTTCTAAATCCTTAAAACTCGTGAAACAAATTCTGTCATGAACTTGAGATACAGATAGATTGAGTTGGTGCAACTATTTTTTGTATAAATGTTTAAGCGACAAAGAAAGGTTAGTAATATCCTCCTAAGTAACTAAGTTGATGTCAATAAGGGCATTCTTGAATTGAAAATAAGTTTCTCTATTTAAAATAACACATTCAAATATCAGCAATAATAATTTTGAGATTTTAAATAAAAACTGCAATTCATTGTATATATATATATTTTTTTTTATTCATTGAATTATATTGGGAATTTACTATGTTTTTTTTATGCATGCAACAAAAATGTAGCTTTTAAATTATGAGATTGCCAAAAGCTTTACTCTTAAGTCATATTTCTTTTATTTTTTTGATAATTCTTTAACTTGCTCAAAAAATCTTCTATTTAAGCCTGAAATCAAGTGTAGTATTTATACTAACATTTGCTTAATTTAAGAAAAGATAGAATTTTGTTTTAAAAGCATTAAACAGCATAATGTAATAACATGTTTTCAACTTTGTGATATAAATGTAGATAAAAACATTCATTAGGATGAAAAATCTCAGGAGGATGTACTTATTGCATTTTTAAATTTCTAAAAAGAAATTTACAAAATTTCTAAACATTTATTTGAACTTCACCCCTTTTAATTAAGTCTTAACAATAAAAAATATTTCCAATTATGATAATGCACTAATGTTTGTGAATATTGCAATACCATGAAGGAATTATCAGAAGTTAATGAAATTTATTCCGTATTACTGATAGTAGTACAAATAAACATGTGCAAGTAGGGTTACATGTACAATTGCTTTGTAATTCTAATGATTTACAAGTTAACCTCTCTTCATTTCATGTAAGTTTGAGTTCAATTTGCATAATTCCTTCGTGGTATTGAAATTTTCACTGAAATCAGTGTAGTTATTGGTTAATATGAATAAAGGTACAAAATTGTAGCCTTTTGACACTTCTAGCATACTAACAATAGTTAGGTACAAAAAGCTTTTACTTATACTCGAGAAATCTATTGAAGCTGAAAAGCTGCACTTTCATATATACTGGATGGCCATGAGCTTGGTCATATAATATGCATCTAACTCATCCTATGCTTTTTCCAAGGTTATTCTTACTGTTACACGTTTCCTCGAATACTCTTCAAGTATGCATCGAACCACTGTAATATTTTTCATGATAATTCTACAGATTACTTTCACGCAATTTTATTTTAATGGGCAACTAGCCAAATTTTCATGCTAGTTAACTATTAACCAAGCTTATAGCCAAACCATAAATATTTTCCTCAAAAAGGCCTCATCTTTATAATCAAAAGCCTGTTCTGAAGCATGTGAAGAGGTTTTCCCTGTTTCTAAGATATTCACGAAGCAGAGCTTGAAACGTTATAGAACCAGTTGAAACATCTTTCCTTGCTTCTTAGTTTACCTTACTTATGAATCAAACAGAAACAATTAAGAGGCTCTGCTCCATTTGAGTTGTGTATTCAATAGTGATTATAATCTAAAATTAAATTGAGAAAATGTAGTTTTTGTTTGGATAATTTTTCTGTTTTGAAAATTCTTTAAAGTTTCAGGTATTTCTATGTTATTTACACATTTATAATACTTAAGATTTTGAAAATTATTTAAACATACTGCTTAAAACTATGTACAATAAAATTATATATAAAACCAAAAATATCAAAAAATTTTGTTTTTTAGTCAGTCTTTAAGTAATTATTTTATAAATCTTCAATCATTTTATGCAAAATGTTGCTTGCCATTTACGTCCCGCAAAGGAATGATAGTTAAGGCACTGTTTCACTAGTAGCGTTTGAGTTCACGCAGGTCGTCAGTCTACCAAAGCAAGGAAGCCAACCACCTACAAAATTGTGATGACATTTCTTAGGATCATCTTCAGAGATAATTCCCAGACTGTTGCTAATAGTTTAATTTGAAGCTCTAGTGAAATGTAAATAAAGTTCTACAATTACTTCATACCATTTACATTTTTTTTCTTCCAATGCCCACCTGGATAATGACCATGCGGTCAGTGCGCGGGTGGGTGACCACTTCGATCAGTCTGCGTAGGGACCGAGGGTGTGCGGTATGGGTCCTCGTTAAACTGTTCTACCGTAAAGTGTTCGACTTCGTGTGCAGGTCGTCGGGATACCGAAGCGGGGGTGCCATCCCCTCTGCAGAGGGGATCAAAATTGTGATGGCATGTTTTCGGATCATCCTCAAGGATGTTTCACAAACCGTCGCCGATAGCCCATTGCGCAGCTCTAGTGCGACGTAAATGAACAACCACAATAATGACCTAGGTCATACAGGCATCTGAAGGGCAGATTTGTTGGCCTCTCTTTCAGGGGCACCATATTAGGTGGGCCAACGTTGCTCCCACCATGCCTTGCCCGGGATTCGAACCCAGAACCTTTCCGGTGCAAAGGCAATTCCCTAACCCCTACACAGGCCGGTCGGCAAGCCATTTACATAATAGAAAGGAAAATTTTTTTTAATAATAACGAAACCGAAACTTTGACTAAGGGACTATTCTAACTATGAATATCCTCATGCGTATTTGATGAATGTGAATGAGATAAAAATAGTGATCCGTGAAAAACTTTCTAATCAACATGCTCTCATTCGTTTGCGATTCGCGCAACTCTGATCTCTGCGTACAAAGAAGTTGAAAAATTATGAGGTTGCAAACTTTGCGTCCCTGAATTCGCATTTACATATTTTTACATAAGTGAGAATGGCTCTAGCGTAATGCAAGCAAAGTCATTACAGAAATAAGTAACCGGAAGTATTGCAAATCTAAACAAATAAATTGTAAGACAGGAAATCGAATGCAATAAGTGCAAAGCACTATCTTTCTTAAATTCAATGAAATTTATTGTTCTTTAAACTTATAATTTTTCTACAATGGCTGAATTACGAAAATTAGAATATATTTCAGTTGTGAAAAACATTGCTACTGAACTTTATAATCATTTAGGAATTAGCGACACAGATTTAGGTTTGCCTCAATAATTCATTTAAATGTTTTATTTCTATTATTATTTCGTGGGCCTTGCATTTTTTAATACTCATTAGTTTGTTTAAAATAATATAATTTCGTTTGAGTGTTTTCGCATGAATGTTTTGATCAGTAAACTTAAGTCATTCTTAGTGGTCATTACTAACTAGTATTTAGTATTTTAAAGAGAAATTTATTATTTTGTATTATTTTTAGTTTACTACTTAGTTTTGAGAAAAATCTTTCCGTATCGTGATCTGTGGCAGAATAATCGCCAAGTCTTGGAAACTTCCGGGCAGTGACCCCGCGAGAAACTAAAAAAAAAACATCACAGGAAGGGACTAATTCGAAAGGTATAACTCGTAGTCACCCCCAGCTCAAACATCTACATGTTTTTTTTTAAGGTGTGCAAGTTTAAAATCTATTTGACTCCTTGGCGATTGTAGTTGGCGCTACAGATCCCCCATTATTCTGATAAATACAAGATTCATTTATGGTTTAAATCCTTAAAATGAACTATACACTTAAGAGAAAGACCTGCACTTTATTAAAATGCTGGGTTCACAAAATTTTGATTTCTTCATTAAAAAATCTTTTTTTTTTTTTTTAAATTTAAATATAATATTTTATAATTAAAATATATTTAAAACAGGTATAAACATGTATATTATCTTAAACTGGTCTAGAGGTCCTAAGTCATATTTGTATCTATATGACCTCAAAGAATAATCCATAAATTCTGCAAAAAAATAATTTTTTAAGAAAATTTTCTCATAGGTACTTGATTTGTAACCAAGTCAGTTGCACACAATAAACTAAGAAAGAGAACACATAAAAGGGAAACAATTTAACGAGTGTAATACGTAATGACGGTAAGTACAACAGGTTGTAGCCAACCATTCTCACCAAGTACAACAAAAAGTTAATAAAACTTCAGTTAAAGCTAACACTGTTGTTATGGACATAAAAAAATAGTTCCGTAAAGCGTTAACTGTATTCATTATAAAATCTTTTACCATAGTAACTATTTTTGTTACCTATTATCACAATTAATTCTAAATTACCTCTGTAAGTAATAGTATGGGAATTTTTTATACCCCAATGGATGCTTATACTGTAGGGGGAGGTTGGACCTCTGGACATGGGCAAAATTAAGAACATGTATTTCATAAAAATTATTTAAAAAAGTACTTTAAATTCACTTTGTCTACAAATATTTATTCAATTAATTTCAGTTCCAAAATTTAGACTGAATTAGTTTTATTCTCATTAATAAAATTATTCAGGAACATTGTTTTGTACAGTACAGAACCCGTTATCCGGAAATCAGAAAACCAAAAAACCAGAACGAAATTCAATAAATTTTCCCGCCATTTTTTTAAAAAAAGATTTTTTTTTCCTCATAAGATTTTAGGATTTTTCTTTCTTTTTTGAAAGATGTTCACCTTACCATCATTTTGGAAATAATCATTAGTGTATTACTTCATCTTCTTTTTAAGATTATTTCCAAATTTCTTTTTTTAGTTGGGTTTAACAATAAAAAAACGGCTTTTTGAAGCGATTCCGAAAACCGGAAAAATCAGTTATCCGGAATAGCGATGGTGCCAATCGTTCCGGATAATTGGTTCCCTACTGTACCTTTTATTCAATGGAAACAAAATTTAGTTCTGAACTAAAAAAAAAAAAGAAAAAAAACATTGTAAGCATAATATTTTACCTCTACACTCATAAAAATTATACAAATTTGGTGTCTTTGTATATTTAAAAAATAATTATAAGAAAAGCTTACTTTTATCAAACATTACATTCTTTTTAAGGAATTATGATGAAAAACATAAATTTTTCAGGCATAGGATTGTGCCTGTATGTTTTGTAACATGTCAGTATGTTTTTTAATGTGTCTGTATGTTTTTTAATGTCTCATTGTATACTAAATTTGTGCCAAATAGTAATTAAAGTATTCTTTATATCAAACAAATGATTTTAAATAGTAATTCATGAAGATGATACAGGTAATTCTTATTTTTCATGAGTCCCTTTTAAGAAGTATCAGGCTTTTCATTGCATAGTTATCGCTTGATATGACTTTTCATAACTTTAATTTCCTATGAATTATATTAAACAATTATATTTTGTTTCATTATGCAAAATCAATTATTAATAAATTAGTTTTTTAGTACCAAAAATATTTTATTAATAAAATTCAATAAATAGTTGTGGGCTGTCAGAATTACCTTATATTTTTTTATAGACCTAGGTATTATATTCATCTTTAAAAATAGATATTTAATTTTAAGTAATTAAGAATATAATGCTATAGCTGTATGATATAACATTTATCCTACAATATTGTATCTGGTTGCATTTTTGTTACATGGTCCAACGTGCTTCAAGTGGTGAACCAAGCTACCATTCCGGCCTTGGGGTCCACTCTTCAATTCTTTTTTTTTAAAGAATTATTATTAAAAAATATTACCGAATGATTTATCTTATAATAAAATGATTTATCAATTATTATGATTCTTATGATTATTAATGTAATTATTATTAAATGATTTATTATTATCAATGATTAAATGAAAATGATTTTCTTGTAAGAAAAATCCAACAATTTTTTAATCAAGATAAAGATTAAAAAGTGGATTAACTAAACTTCCTATACTAACCTTTTATTTTCCACCTATACTGAACTTTTTTTCCAAATTAATTTAACTGTCACTTAGCACGTTCATTCAACAAACCTAAACTAATGTTTGAAGCTTGGCACAAATACTCAACTTTTATCTAGGCAATTTTCCTTATTCATTTTGGTTTATTAATTTATTTTATCCATTTACAGCTGAATTTGTTATATCATTAGCTGAAAAGAATGATACTCATGAAACATTCAAGAGAGCTTTGGAAGAAAATGGTGCTACTTTTTCGGTATGTTGATTTTTTATGGTATTGTAACTGTATAATTTTTTGCATGTTAACAAAAAGTTTTAATCATATTTCATAACTGTCTTTATTTACCTTAAAAAATTATTTTAGCCTTAAAAGTTAAAAGCAAGTGTTACTTTTAAATTTATATAATTACTTTCAGTTAATAAGGCATTTCTCTTTTCACCTTGATCAATTTGCTACTATATATATGTTTTATCTTTATTTTGAACTTAAAAAAAGAAGAAAATAAAAAAAAGAATTTTTTTTTTTTTTTTGATATCAGAAGTTATATATTTTTTAAATACTTTTGAAAAATTATTTTTAATAATTTTCTTCTCTTGTCATTATTTTTTATTATTTTCCATTTTTTCTCAATATTTTAGCTTTTATATATATATCTTTTAGTCTATTTTTTTGGCTTTAAGTTACCCATTAACTGACATTTTTAATTTCTCCCTTTTATAAAAGCGTGAGAAATGCACTCCCTCAGCTTTTTAGCAGACCAATTATAATTATAAATTTTTCCCTGAGATCTAAAACAATAAAGGGAAAAACTTATACTACTTTCTCTAGGATAAAATCTCAAGCACACATTTTTTGAAGCCCGATTTAGGCTCTGCCAATGCTTGAAAATTATTTAAATAGACAATGTGAAGCCATGTCATCTCTTTAAAATGACTTAAACTTAATCTTCCTTCCAACTTTTTGCCTTCATTCCTGAACATTCAACCATGGCTGTCATTTATTATTGATGATATATTATCGCTTGTCTTTTTCAGATCATTTATTGTTAAGCATATTAGGCTATTTGCAGACTTCTTAATTTTTTATGTTTAAAAGTGCTGATTAATTATTTCTTAGTTTGAATTTTTTTTAAAAGTCATACATTATGGAAAATATTTTTTTCATTTCTACTCTCAGGATTCATTAATTGCTATTGTGTTGCGTCGCATTAAGACTATGATGCCAAAAAGATCATTGGAGGCAGAGGATCCATCAGAAATGAGTGCGGCTTCCAGAAGCGAAGAAAATCTTCATTTTTCAGTTATTGCTACTAATGATGATAAAGTTAAGGTAAGTTATGAAAAAATTCAAAGTCTAAATAAAACTTTGAATATGATTAGATTTCCTTCCAGTATTTTACTTCTGTAATCAAAGACAAAAAGATACGACTTTATTGTTGAATTCTATTTTACTTGTTGTATAATATATCTAATGGAAAGAGTTAATACTTTTAACTCATATATGATAATTTAAAGGCTTAAAATTTTTTTTTAATTTTGCTTTTAAACATTTTTGTATTATGGCGACATATTTTTATTCTTTCGATATCTGACTATACATTGTTATTACTAATTACTGCAGCTCCTATGTTAGAAATATTTAATAAATTTCATGGAAACTTTTTATTATCGATATTTTAGAGGATTCAACTAAACCATTAAATTTGATTTAAATTCTAAATTTGATTCTAATGCTTAATGTTTGAAGTCATTTTGTAGTCTTTTTTTCCTTGTTCTTTATTCTTGTTTCTCATTTCAATTTTTAAAACAAAAGTAATAAGTCTTGATTTAAATTATTCACTTTTTACAGAGATAATTTATAATTTCTTTCATTTGATTTACACTTATTATGTTTTTATTCACAATTTTAAATTCTGTTACAGCGTTAGTAAATAAATAGGTAAATATTGCTTTTGAACAGAACAGTTATTACATCTTTAATTTTCCGATTGTTATATTTTCTAGCGACTGAGTATGCTAACATTTTTATGTGGTTTAATGCCTAATTTCTAAGAGATTATAATAAAAATTTCTTGGAACAACACTTATGCATCTATTTAATGAAATCTTAAATGCATTGATGAATGTCCTAAATATTTGTTACATATCATTATTTCTCACTTACACCAGAAAATGTCAACATTCAGCTAAAAAAATAATTATGTTTTAATTGTTGTTCATTTAATACTTTGAATGATTATGTATACTAATGAACTTTAGCATTTGCTAGTGTAATTGACAAATAATGATATTTTAATGATATCCTCAGTGGTAGACTGATCATGGGTTAGAGTCCTCTTGCCGTAAGGCTAACCATGGGAGGTTCTCTTGGTTTTCCTCTCTATGTATCCCAAATGCGGATTAGTTCCATAATAAAAAAGTCATCCATGAAGGCAAATTTCTCCCAATACTTAATCCAGGAGTTCCCTTTTCTTTTGGATTGGGTTCAAAATTACAAGGCTACGGAGTTGAACATTAGTAGTCGTAAACACGAAATTGGATCGGCTATTCAACGACGGTTATAAAATAATGATATTAAACTAATATTTTAGACATTCACCAAAGTCATTCACTTTGGTAGACGTTCTTATGTAAATTTTGACATTCACTAATTTTCAACTTTTACTATAAAATTTATTAGTATATGAATATATTTTTTTTTTTAATTTTTATTCTACATCACCCCAAGACATTTTATTTTTGTGTATGCATTTAAGAGATGAGGCAATTTACTTTTTTAATGTACAACTTATACTTTTTATTCGTGTTAAACCTTCATTTTTAGGTTTCTTATTATTTTAGTTGGGTTTTTTTTAAGGGATAATTTAGTTTTTCTTTAAAATTGATATCCCTTAAGAATGCATGATTATCAAGTATTTCTGAAAATGTTTAGGTACCTTGGTCAAATAAATCCGGCTTTTAATTTATATTTAAAACATACTTGTTTTTTACAGATAGCGATCAGAGAGAGAATGCCTACTGAAGCACTGATTCACTTGCTTCAGTTGAATATTATGTCATTGTAAGTTAGTACTTAAGCTCTTTTTTTTTAAATCAAAGTTTGAAGTTTTTCATTATTTTGAATAAAGTTTTTCTAGTCAAATTTTGATGGTCAAATTATTTAAGGCATCTTTTTCACTGCAAAACTCATTTGTTAAAAGGAGTATATGCTTTTATTTATTATTTATAAGTCAATGTTTGCTACTTGAATATATTTTTCGAAACCCGTAAGAAAGTTTAAACTGTTTTCAAAGATGAATTTCAAATGGTAATTTATTTCTACTTTTTTCATAAAATTTTTTATCTTTTAAATATTTGAAATATATTTATTTTGTGTTTTAGTTTTTTATTAATATTTTCAAATAATAAAAAGTTGGATTTTAACTGCATCCTGTAAGCTTTTTTAAAAATATTTTAAGAGATAATGAAAGAAAAGTACTGATTGTCTAGTTTTAAGGTTTTTTAACTTTCCCATACTAATGTAGCAGGTAGGATTTTATTTTTGATGTATAAAATATTGAGCTGTAGAATATTAGAATAAAAAGTTTGTTACAAGTAAAAAATGGTGAGAAAATTAAAAATTGAGCCTAGAGAGTAGAGGAGGTAGTCTAAGTAGAGGGCATCTAATGCAATTTTATAAGTACTTAACACTTTTAGTTAAATTTTTTATATCTATATTTAATATAACACTAGGGGTTTCGCGTTTGGCTGACCACCTAACCGGAACATCTGCTCCTGCACCCCAGAGCCCAAGGTCAAGAAAACTGAGATGGGCACAGTAGGCCTTCCCCCTCTATGGGCTGTAGTGCCACCTAGTTTTAGTTAGTTTAGTTGGTTTTTTATATTTAATATGGATGGTAAATTTGCTGCATATTTGATTAAACTTTCAAAATTATGTTATGAGAAAAAATGTATCGTAAATGTTTAGTATATTTTTTAGAACCTTTTAAAAGTTTAGTTTTAATGCCTTTTTAAAAATATTTCTTGAGAATTAGTTTCAATCATCTGTTTTGTGATCATATCATTTCTAAGTTCCCATACAAATGTTTAATTTGTTTTCACTTAATGGAATTATTTTTCATATTTCTAAAACTATTTTGTTCTTCAAAACATTGTCACCCAAGAATATCAAGATCTAGTGATTTCGAGATTTAGGTTACTAATACAGTTGACATCTTGTTGTGCACCCTGGAGTTTGAAAATGTTAAAGGTTTTGTTTAGCCACTTACTCAAAATTTCTGAAGGTTTTAGTAATTTAATAACAAGCAATTTTATGAATATATTGTCCTTACTTACTTTTTTCATGAATTTTTTTGACATTTTTCAAAAAATCATATTATAGGTTTTATTTAACTACTAACCAAAAAATGCTGAAGGTTTCAGTAACTTACTAACCAAAAATTGTGTCCCTTCCTCCTTTTTTTCAAAATTCGTGTTTGCCATTTTTAAAAAATCCCACGACTGTTTTACTGAAATCTAAAATTCTAAAAATGACAAAGAATGAATAACATGCTATAAAAAGTCACTCATAATCATATGTCACTTACTCATATTTACATTCTGCTGTATCCCTATATAATTAAAAAATCCTTTATACTATTTTTTTTTTTTTTTGTCAAAAAGTTTAAGTATAGATGTTATGGTACTTATACCAAGTTCTCAATCCTGAAAATTTTTTATTATCTTCCTCAAAATTTATTTAAAAATATTTGTTTGGCATAATTTTAATTTAATTTGTACTCTATGTTTATTCTGGTCTATTTTTGACAAAAATGTATTCCCGTGTTTATATGTTTAAATTACTCTTTTTCATAATTTTAATTATTTTTACAGAAGCCTACCTCAAGTTGTTTGCACATACCTGAGCTACCCATTCATGATGTAGATACAAGCGAGGAATCAAAAGAGGAAGATGGTATGGGTTTATCATTTTATTGACTAGAATTATATCCTGTCCCTTATTTTAAATTATTTGATTTTATGTGTTTATTAAATGAAACAACTGAAATTACAAATATGTATTAATGATTGATTTATATTTACTCATTTAAAATTATTTTTTAAATTTAGATGAGGATATTGAAATTGAACTTGTTAAGGATAATCCACCCTTCTTGTCTTTGCTTGATGTGGAAAATGTACAAGATCTTACACCTATCAGAATTGTTAAAGTGAGTTTTCTTGATTACATTGATGAAAATTGTACTGTATATTTGAAAGGAGAGAAAAAAAACGCTTGTTTGCATTTATTTATTTATTTTTTACCTTGTGATTTCTTTCTTCGTTATTTTTTTTTTTAAATTTGCTTTTTCATTTTTATATAACTAACTTCCCATTATATTTAACTCTTTGAGATATTAGCCCCTTTCAAATTCTCTGAAAATCTTCCTGCCTTGTGTACTAATATGAGAGAAACTAATAAATTTTTGTATGGCCTAATTTTTTTTCTTAGAATTTATATACATTCCATTTCATTCATGCAGTTTTTTTTTTCTTTTTTGTATAAAATTTTTTTAAAAATATACTATAATTTTTCTCATTGACCCTGCCCTATTTAGTTTTGTTGTATTGTTGAAAAAAATTATCTTTTTTCTTATTCTTAATTTTTTTTTAGTTTAATTTAGAGTGCCTCTAAAAAACCTTTCTGTGTAAAGGAAATATGTTGAGATAAAATCCAAAATTAATTGTACATAACATATTGAAAATCATTTTTTGAAAAAGGTAAATTTTTAAAAAAGTGTTTTTATATTTCTGACAGCCCTCTAGAAAAATTTCTGCGTTTGAAACTGTATTTTTATTTAATGAAATCTTTGTTAATTTAAAATGAGTTATTAAATATGTTAACAAATTCTTTTCTTTATCCCATTTTGAAAACCCACAATAAGTCAGAAGTTTAAATTGTTTGTGGAATTCTATGTGACAAAGATTCAGTAGAAAACTACTTGTTTAGATGCCCTTAATAAAAGGGTATAATCATTGGAAGGGGCAAATAAAAACCCAATTTGAAAAACACACATATAGACACCTTGGCGAGATGTATATTAAAAAAGAGAATTCTAATTCCAGATTTTAAATTAATATTTTGTATAAACTCTAGTGGATAATATTCTATGGTATTAAAATTTTAAAACTTTTTTTTTTCTTTAGCAATTTAATGTTATTAATTAATTTTTTGAAAATCATTCATAAATCATAAAATGTTTTTGTTATTTTTAGTAACTACAGCGGAACCTCAGTTTTACATTCTCGTTTCGCACATTATCTCACTTACTACATTATTTTCTGCTAGTTTGTAAGAATTGCCTATTCTGATTATATTAAATTAACCCAGATTTTACCTAACCCTTCTTTTAAACATTCCCGTTTTATGCATTTTTTTAACAGATCAAAATCGTTTTTTCTCTAGAAAGCTTGCACAAACTAAAAGAGGGAAAAAAATAGTTTATGAGCTGTTTTTTCTGACATTTTTCTATTGTATCTCATTGTCCTTTTATCTGTGAGAGGATTTCTCCCTTGAGTCGAATTCAGAAAGGTTCTGGGATGCACAAAGCCCAGGAAGAGTAGTTAAAAAAAAGTATTGGAGCTAAAAATTGTAAAATTTGTTAGAGAACTTTTTTTTAGCTTACTTAAACTAATTTACAATGAATCAGAAAATAATAAATTTATATTCAAAAATTATTTGTGTTTGTTAGAAATTAAATAATGTCAAAAGTACGATTTTTATAATAGTAAAAATAAATAAATTAATGTTTTCTTTTCCTTTGAAAATGTAGTTTTTAAATAAATCGTGTTCTACCTGATAGGCTAGATAACTTGTCTTCTGGGATATTCACTGTCCACTATTGTTGTATTAGTGATTATTTTTGATTATAATTGATTATTTTTGATTGAAATTTATGCTTTTTTGAATAAACAAATTTTAGAGGAATAAGCATTTTGTTCAAATTTTAGCACTGTGGGGAAACTCCTAGTGCAGAGGATGTAACAATAGTGCACCATTGCTGCAATGAAAGTGTCAAGCGTTTGTATTCATCTTTTAATTGAAATCTGAATATGAAAGTTTGTTACTAATGTATGTTGTTCAAACAATCTGAACTAAATTATAGTGTAGCTATTAACCTCAAAGTTGCTACATTGTTAGTCTAATTATTTCTCTCTATGCATATTACATAATTGTAGAATATTGACTAAGTATATTATTATTTTAACAGAATCCTGATGGTTCTTTAGCTCAAGGTGCCATGATACAATCAGCCCTCGCAAAAAATAGAAGGGAGCAAAGACTGCAACAACGAGATGCTGAAAAGAATTCTATTACTACTGAATTGAGCAAACAATGGATTGATCCATTACCACATGGTATGAAATTTTATTTAAAACTTATTTGAATAAATAAAAACGAGTTCTTTACTTTTTGATCTTATAGTAATCTTAAAACTATACTAATAAAATCATTTCATTCATAAAATTATTAAAGCCTGGTAAAAAAAAGTTACAGAATTTTCAAAACATTTTGTTACTTTTTCTTTTGCCTGATGTTTTTTTACATTTATTCCACAATATGCACTTCATTTTTTTTCTCTGATGGTTTGTAAATTATATTGAGAATAATTAATATAATATTTTGTGTTATTTCAGCTGAAGGCATAAAAAGTTCTGGATTGTCTACTGATGATTTTCCTGAATGGAAAAAGCATATAATAGCTGGCCCTAAAGTGTCTTATGGCAAAAAGACCCAATTGAGTTTATTAGAACAAAGACAAAGCCTTCCTATTTATAAATTAAAAGATGATCTTGTGAAGGTATATTTTAATTACGTTTTTTTTTATTATTTAAAACAGTAGCATTTTTCAATGTGTGTTAGTAGAAATCTTCCAGTACAACAGCAGAATTTGCAGATTACACAGTAATTGCTTATTATTTTTCATCTTAGATTATTTTTTTGTAAAAAAAAAAGTCTTAAAAATTGCATAGAGATAGAACAGAAAAGTCATTTTGAGACCACTAAACTTATTCAAGTACTATCTGTTATGTTTTAACTAAAAAAAAAAATTCCTAATCTTCAGAGGTATAAGCTAAAGGAAATTGACGATTTACCAAAATTCTAATTATTTCTTTAAATCAACTGAAATTTAGTAAGGTGAAGAATTAAAACATTACTAATTTCTGAAAATTCTGGTTGTTTGGTTATAGACTATATAGGGATTTATTTCCTTCTTTAAAAGTTTGTATAATATATATATGTATATATATATATATGTAATATAACCCAAATTTTTATCAAGATAATTTTTTTGTGCAAAACATCTATCTTATATTAAAAATGAATGTTAGATTAGGCATAATTTTTTCAATAATAACATTGGAGATTTTTGTTTATTTATTTATTTTTATTTCTGTTGCATGATATTTTTTAAGGGATCTTGGATACTTTCGTATCACTGATTTTAAATATACTATTAGTTTTGCTCTCTAAGCTGCAGCCTTTTTCATGACATTTTTAATCTATATTTTGTCAAAACTTATAAGTTTGAAAACGTTATATTTAACAAAAGGTCACATAATTATTGCTACAAACTTGCTTTGCCACTTTTTATGAACTGTTTCTTCATGTGCTTCTGTACAGGTTATAACAGGAAAGTGCTCCTTGCAGTGTACGACAACATTTCGAGGCATGGGTTCCTATGAAATTTTAGGCCTGTCGATGCCCCCTAGCTCTCTATGAAGTTTGTTGCATCATTTATGTGATCTCCTGTTGTACACAATACTTTTAAACTTGTACATTTCAGCAAAAAATGGACTGAAAATGTCCTTTTTTTAAACAAATCTGTAGTTTAAGGAGCAAAACTAATTTCAAATTTGAAATCCTCCCTCCTGCATATGGCGAGATCGAGTATTTGTATAAATGCAAACAAAAATATATTTACCAGTGTAATGTATTGGATTGTGTTGGGGTTGTAGACAAATTTAAATTTGTGAGGACATTGCTGCAGATCAAATATTGAAAGAAATTTGCCTTTGTGAAAGACTTTTTGATGAAACTAACCCTCATTTGTATTACATGGACAGGAAAACCTCCCACGGTTAGCGTGATGGGAAGGGGACTCTAACCCATGATCCATCTACCACTGAGGATATTTTACATCTACACTGTAGTTGGTGCGATCTGGGTGTGGAATCCGTATCGACCAGCCATCACTTTAATTCAAACCTGGTTCACCTCATTGAAAAGCAAATACTCTATCATGTGAGCCACCACATCTCTTAGGTTATGATTTAACTTTTTTTTGCATAAAAATATCTTTTTGAAAATGATCTAAAATTTTAATTCTACAATAAATAAATATTTATTTAGTCAGTTAGGGTACGTTGCGTTTTTTAAAGGTGCTTATTTTCGTTTTTCAAAAGCCCTTAAAATTATTTATTTTCGTTTTTAAAAGCCCTTAAAGGTGCTTTTTTTGTGGAATGTTTTTAAAAAGTCCTTTGTTTCCCTTTTCTGAAATGCAATATTTTTTCTTTACCGTGTCGTTTTTCACCATGAATTATACAAAAAGCAAGGTTTTAACATCATTTCATTCAATGTTTTCACATTTCATTCAACCACAATCCATTTTAGTGTACTGCCAGTCTGTAACGTATGAAAGGGCAATTAATTATACATGTTTGATGAAATACTTGCAGGCCCGCATACGCATATGTGTATACTGAGCTAGATTTGGTGGGAAGAATTCTTGCATGTGCAACTATGCTCATAATTTTGAATCAAAATAAATTTTTTTTTTACGTAATTAAATTAAGTAATTTAAAAAATAGACTCAACCACTCAATATGGAATATATTTAAAAATGTGCATAAATTGTTTTTGTGATAGCTAACATAATCAAGAAAAAGAGTTCTCTTTCAGAATTCGGTTATTTTATCCTCTAAAGTCTTAGATCCTCTAAAGTCTTAGAAAATTATTTTACTTTTTCTTAATGTATGTATATGAACTTTCAACAATATGAAGAGAAAATTTTATTAGTGCACATATCTTAATTATGATATTTTTTTTAAAAAATAGTGCTTTAAAGTATATTTTTAAATGCTTAAAAGGTGCTTACTTTTTGGTGAAAAATTTAGCTATGCAGCCTGGTCAGCTTTACTTTCAATTTATACCCTTAAAATATTTTTCACTCGTTTTTACATTGATTATACAAAACTCAGTAGATGTTTTTATTTGTCAAATTAAAGTTGATTACTGGAAAAAAAAAATTTTTTTAGCAAAAAATGGAGTTTTGTATTAAAAAATCGTATCTTATTTTCTAAAAAGAGGTTGAGCTTTAGTAAAAAATATTTAATAAGTACAGAGAAGTAATTAAGTCCAAAGAATTTTGAAGGATAAATATATGATAGCTTTAAGTATGCATAAAAATTAAATGTGTGTGCATTTATCACAAAAGTCTCATTGATTTATCAGTTCACTAACTAAATATTAGGTGTTTTATATTTTTTTTTCTACAGTAAATTCAGTATAACTTTTGCATTTTATTTCAAACTTGGTATTACGCTTTATTGGTTTATGTGTTAATTAATATATTAATGTGCTTTGCATTCCTTTTAATGTTAATGACTGTCTGCATATTACTTGTATTTTAATTTCATTCATTTAAAATTTCATAGGCTATTACAGAAAATCAAATTCTTATTGTCATTGGGGAAACTGGATCTGGAAAAACTACCCAGATGACTCAATATTTGGCAGAAGCTGGTTTTACGGCAAAGGGAAAGATTGGTTGCACTCAACCTAGAAGAGTTGCAACTTCGTCAGTTGCAAAGAGAGTTGCCGAGGAATTCGGTTGCCGATTAGGCCAAGAGGTACGTGTGTAGGAAGAAAATTCAAACATTTACTGATTATTTAGTCTTTTTAAGTTTATTAAAATTAATTATTCTGTTTGATTTTAATAAAGAGAATAGAATTGAAATGGCAAAAAAAAAACCTTAAAATGACATTTTAAATTTTATTATTTTTCTTCAATTTGGGAAATTTTCAAAAACTTTCATTAACCAGTAATGTTTTTCAATTAGACTGATGTAAAAAAAATTTAGTTTGTTGTGCTTGTAACTAGATTCTATCCTAATCTAATTTTAAAGCCCTTCAATTGACGTTTTTTAAACCTCTTTCCAAATACAAAACAGCATTTTATTTTTATAGGTAGGCTATTACATCCGTTTTGAAGATTGCACGAGTTCTGAAACAGTCATTAAATACATGACAGAAGGTATGCTTTTGAAAGAGTGTCTGAATGATCCGGACCTGAAAAGTTACTCAGTATTGATGCTGGATGAAGCTCATGAAAGAACAATCTATACAGATGTATTGTTTGGACTTATGAAGAAGGTAAGGCATTGATGACAACCAGTCTGATGTAAAATGTAAAATGACTTTTGGATAAGCAAATTTTAAAATAGTATATACTTTTTCCCTCGTTGGTCCTATTTATCTTTCTGATTTAAGAGAGAAAATGCAGTATTTTTCACTCTCAAAAAGACTAAATATTTTATTATTTAAACTAGGCTACTATTCTTTGTAAAACAATAGAGGTTCATTAAATTTAGTAAAAAGCAATGTAGGTAAACTTCTCTTATTCTATATGAAATATAATTTTATCTATTAGAATTCTTAATTCTTCTTTAAATGAAGTTTAAATATTAATTGCTAAAATAATTTTTTTAAAAAAGCATGAACGTGTGAAAAGAGTGAGGGAAAATATTTGCTTATTTCCATTTCTTGCAGAGCAGAAAAGAATAAAGTAAAGAAATGGAAAAAACCTATCTCCTTATTAAAAGGGAATTGGTGTCACGCACCAATTGCATTTTTGGCGCAGCCCCCTCAACCATTTTCCGCCTTTGGGGACATGTGTGAATTCGGCACAAACAATCTGTGCAAATTATGGACACAAATGTACACTCTTACGAAAGTTTGACTTTTTTTTAGTCTTATCTGTATGTTTGGAAATTGTTTCTCTCATCTAGTTAGAACACTTAAGAAATTCTTATATCATACCTCATTACTTAGCAACAAGAAAAATGAAATCTCGTTTATTTGGTTATGTTCTGAAAAGTGTGATTGTTTTGTTAGCATACTTATTGTAATATTACTTTTGTGGTTTTTGAGATATTGTTTGCTGCTGTTAATATTCTAAAAATGAGTAGTAATTTTTAAGAATTTAAATATGACCTTAAAATCTATGAAACCTTGTGGTTCAATGAAGATTATAATGCTATCAATAAATAATGATGGTGGCCTAATGATAACGCACCAAGATATTCTGATTCAGAAGTTAAAGAAATTAGATGAAGTTGGCAACTTAAGAAGAAGAAAATGTATTGTCCAAAGGAAACATGAAGAAAAGGTGATGCTCCCTAGGAATGTACAAAATGCGACATCTGGTTATGCGTTGACACTTGTTTTGAGATTTACCATACGCAATTAAACTATTCATTTTTCTTGTTCATATTGTAGCAAAAAGTATTCAGGTCCAGCAATCGTTACTGCCAGCAAGGCACTGCTCGTGAGAAGCAATTCAGCTTAGAGCAATGAGCAGTCAAAGGGTTAAATATATTGAAACTTATTGCAAGTAAATATTTTGAAGCTTATATTTCTAGGAATTTGTGGAAAACTATCTCTTTTACTTAATAAAATTCATGACTACAAATCCGCATAATTTTATCTTTACTTTTTTGTTATTTCTAAATTGTTCTTCATTAAATTGTGGTCATATATTAATTATATTGTGATTCATATTGGTCATGCAAGTTATGTTGCATCTTACATTATTTACTATTAGCAGTATTTTCTTTTTTTTTTCGTTCATTTTTTAAACTTATAGTGTATTTGAATTTTTCTTCTTTTTTTAGGCTGTGAAACAAAGGCCTGAACTCAAACTGATTGTTACATCTGCTACCTTGGATGCAGTAAAGTTTTCTCAGTATTTCTTTGAAGCGGTTGGTATAACTTTATGTATTTATATGTAATTTTTGTTTGGATAAAATTAAGAAAAATATGTACAAAAAACTATAAAAAACGATTATTTGAAGTAGTAGTGTTTAAAAGTAGAAGTGTTTTTCTAGTCTTAAACCACTGTAATTTGGATCACAGAAATTAATCTGTAATGGCCCGAAAACCAGCCACCTTAGTAAGCAATTGAACAAACAAAAACAAAAAAACAACAACACATTTAACAAAATGGTTACTATTCATCTATATTAGTAGCCAAAGAATGTAATTAAAATTTTTAATTAGTGATTGTCTAAAAATTAGATTTTTGAGTAGTAATTGTTGAAATATTATCTGAATCCTTTATTTGTATTATTTTTTTTTTATTATTGGTATTGGATATTTATTTATACTTGAAAATTTTATTTTAAAAACTAATTTATTTGAATAAATTTTTATCCCAGTTATCATACTTCATATTTAAAGACATTGTTCTAGAATGAGTTTATTGTATTTCCTCTCGAATAAACCATTTGTTGGTATTTCTTTAAAATATTTCAATATTTTTTCTTGTGCTATAAGCGTTAAATACTTTGTTTTCCTTATTTTTAGTTGTTTCAAAATTTTATAAGTTTTTTATATTTTTCTTCTATTTTAGCCAATATTCACAATACCTGGACGAACTTACCCTGTTGAAATTTTATACGCTAAAGAACCAGAAAAGGATTATTTAGATGCTTCTTTAACCACAGTTATGCAGATTCATCTTTCTGAACCTGCAGGCAAGTTTTATCTGTTGTATTTTTTCTTATNTGTATTTTTTTTTTATTGGTATTGGATATTTATTTATACATGAAAATTTTATTTTAAAAACTAATTTATTTGAATTAATTTTTATCCCAGTTATCATACTTCATATTTAAAGACATTTTTCTAGAATAAGTTTATTGTATTTCCTCTGGAATAAACCATTTGTTGGTATTTCTTTGAAAGATTTCAATATTTTTTCTTGTGCTATAAGCGTTAAATAGTTTGTTTTCCTTATTTTTAGTTGTTTCAAAATTTTATAAGTTTTTTATATTTTTCTTCTATTTTAGCCAATATTCACAATACCTGGACGAACTTACCCTGTTGAAATTTTATACGCTAAAGAACCAGAAAAGGATTATTTAGATGCTTCTTTAACCACAGTTATGCAGATTCATCTTTCTGAACCTGCAGGCAAGTTTTATCTGTTGTATTTTTTTTTTATTTTGACTGATATATTTTATTTCTCACACGAAAATCTACTTTAAAAAGTTGTACTTTAAAGAAAAATCTTGTGTAGGAAATGTTAATACTTGAACAAAATATTTTTAAAAAAAAAGTTATAAGGGACAATTTAAATCATTTCTCTTTTCTTTAAATTTAAAATGGTAAAATAAATGTATGCTTGTATTTGTATTGTTGGATTTTAGCACCGATTAATTTTAAAGTGCTTTTGCTCTTTTTTTTATGTTTAATTTTAAAAAAGCATGATTTTTATAAAATTTTCTGTGTTAATAGAATTTAAATGTTTTTTTTCAAAAATGGTACTTTTTGTCTATAAAAACTCATTGTCTCTTTAATAAAATTAGTGATTTCTTTGTGAAAATTACTGTCGTACAGTGCGCACAGAAAAATAAATGAATGGACTACCTTGAATAACTTTTGAATTAATGATTGGATCTTTGCATTTCAGGACTCAATCTTAAAGGTTTGAGAGGTTAATCTCAAGTACGATATTTAATTGGTGCATACGTTATTTTAAGCTATTATTATTAATGAAATTTTAAATGTACATTTTTTTCAAAATTTGACTTGTTCAACCGATTTTGCTCAAATTTTGTGATTCTCCATTAAAAATTACTTACTTAAAAATTATATAAAAAAATGCATACCATACAATTCAAAACTTTTTTGACAGTTATTAAATAAAATAATATTCAATAATATATATTTACTAAAATTAATTTTTTGCATTACAAATTTTATATTGCGTACAAAACTTTTTCACTTCTTTTAAAATATTCTCGAGATATGGTGAAATATGCAAAAAGTAAAATTAATGTTAAGAGTCACTGCTCTTGACCAAACTATTTAGACCATATTTCCCGAGTGGGTGCCACTCCATATTTTGGGGAGTCAGAAATCCGAATCCGTTAAAAAAAAAGGTATGTTTGTTTAGCGAAAGTACATTTTTGTGTCTGATTTTGTAACTTAAAATATGGTCTGCTTAAAATAATTAGCATGTGTGAAGTCATCCCCTCGAACCAGTAAAATTAATCCTAGAAAGTGAAAATCCAATCTTAGATCAAAAGTTATTCAGGGTGGTCCATTTTTTTTTTTTTTTTTTTTTTTNTTTTTTTTTTTTTTTTTTTTTTTTTTTTTTTTTTTTTTTGCTCTCTGTTCACATATATAAAAATAAAAATATAATATTCTCCTGTCATTTGTGGTGCAACCATTGTACCTTTTATTAAGTAGATTTTGATATAATATTAATTAATGCTTTTACTTATGGTCCTTTGGTAAAATAAATAAGGTATGGTATTTTTTCAAATAATATTGCCAAATCCAAATGAAGATAAGGTATATTTTCGCTATATATGAATAAAACAAAACAACATGAATTGCCAAAAGAATTTTTAAGGTTGATAAAGTGTATATTACTTACAAATACGCACTTTTTCTTTTCTAGGTGATATATTGGTTTTTCTCACTGGTCAAGAAGAAATTGACACAGCTTGTGAAGTTTTGTACGAAAGAATGAAATCTTTAGGGCCAAAAGCACCTGAACTTTTAATACTTCCCATTTATTCAGCATTGCCTGGTGAAATGCAGACAAGAATTTTTGAACCCACTCCTATTGGATTGAGAAAGGTCTCTATTTTTTAACTTGTAATGTTCTTTCACTTAAAATACTTAATAATTTATGATTTGTATTGTATTCTCAATCTTCTCATTGTCGTTTGATCATCATTGAAAAGACCTAAAGATTTTTTTAATTTTTATATCTAGTTTTGAGTTTTTAAACTTTTCTATTCCCTGAAAGTTACCGTATTCATTTTCCAAAATGGAATCTTATTTAATTATACTCATCCAATTTATTTACAAATGAACAAAACCTTAAAGTATATAAATAGGTGTCAGAACAAAAACTATATTTTTCTTAGAAAGCTCTGCATCCTATTTTTATTTGTTTGTCAACCTATTTATGATTCTTGGTTGTCTTGTTTTGTTAATTATTTTATTTTGTCATAATTATTTTGTGAGATATTTTAGATGTCAATATCATGTGATATTGGTTTAACAAAATAAAAGCATTGAAACAAAAATATTTTTATAAATTAAATTCCAGATGAAATAGCTTATAATCTTAAATGCTATGTTTTGGGTTTGTTTCCAATATTTTTTGATACACTATAAGTTGAAAATTTAATTTTATGCAAGGTTGCTTAAAAGAAGGAAGCAGATATTTTAAAGCATTATGCAGAAAGCAGAATGTATTTATAGTTATGAATATATTATGCAGATGAATTCACCTTTCAGTTAAGAAACTTGTACTAGGAATTTAATTCAAATTAGTATTTTTTCATTAAGTATTATTGCAAAAAAATTAGTTAAGATAGAAAGTTATTCCTTACTGAATTCAGCATTGTAAAATTTAATTAATGCTTGATCACAAATGCTAATTGCTTTTTCCTGTTTATAAAAATTTCTTTCTTAAAATTTCTTTCAATCTTATGTAGATTGGAAGCTTTATTCTTAATGACTGGAGTGTTTACCTAATATATTGATAATTTCAGGTTGTAATAGCTACGAATATTGCTGAAACATCCCTTACAATTGATGGAATTTATTTTGTAGTTGACCCAGGTTTTGTAAAGCAGAAATCATTTGACTCAAAAACTGGGATGGAGTCATTAGTTATTATACCCATATCCCAGGTATGTCTTTTTTTCTTTTTTTTCTTCTTTTTTTTTATATTGGAATAATTTTAACAGATTTTATGCACTGACATACTCTTCATCTACTACAAAATTTCAGTTTTTATTTCAGTTTCACTTCTCTACCACTGACATTTTTTATGTACTTGTTTTTTATGAAACTCATGTTCAAGGGTATGAATCATTATAAGTGAAATTAATCACTTCTTTTATTGATGTAGCATTTTAACATTTTTACAACTTCTTATTTCGAAATATGATACCTGTTTTATTTAGATATCCATTTTTGTATTATCTTTGAGTCTCAGCTTGTTTGTAGATTTTTAATTGTTATGGCTCGTTCTATTTAAAATAAAAAATTTTCTAATTAAATTTTAGAATAGAAATGTTTCTTATTAAAGAATTTATTGTCATAATAGTAATGATAAGTTTCATTATTGGTTATTGAAATTTTAGTGTTAATAATTTGGTTTTTATAATAATATTAGGTCTTCTAATGCTGTATTATAAACTTATTTCGAATTTATGAGTAAAAGAGCCATTAACACATTTTAAATATTCCAATTATAATAATTCTTTGCTAGAAATTAATTTCCATTTAAGATTATCTGAGTGCAATTAGTAAAGTAAATGCCGATTGAGGAAATAAAGTTTTGAGAATAACTAAGTTCAATATATTTTTTCTGATTATTACTAAATGTTTACATAAACTAAACTATTTTCGATTTTATTTTCCTCAATAGATTCAATTCATTCTTACTATCAATTTTCCTTTTTTCTGGAAAATTTCAGAAAATTTTATTTTTGGCACTTGCATAAGAGAAAGAGATTACTGTTGCAATTGAAAAGTGTTTTGACAGTTGTTTTCCTTCTATTTCTAATGCTATGAACGCTAAAATAAAATGTCAAAAAACTGATAAAACAAAATTTATTTTTTAAAAAAATTTCCTTGCACTATGTAGCTTTACATACAAAGATCCAAATGTATAATTATTACTATTTTGAATTTTTGGTCACTATTTTGAATATGAAAACGCCATTCGTTTTACATTATTCAAAATTTCATGAATTTTGACAATTGTCAAAAACAATGCCAAAAGTTTTTTTTTTTTACACATGATGGTTAAAACAAGATAGAACTGTCGATTGTCAGTTAAAGTGCTTAAAAATATTTTTTGAGAACTTGAAAAGTGCTTATTTTTTGTTGAGTCATTTGGCTACGCACCCTGAGTTAGGCTAATTTTAAAATTTCTATAAAAGCTGACATTCTGCTAATAGTTTTTATAAGGGTTTCAGAAAGTGTCTTAAATATGCTAAGTCTATGACGCTGATTTTTTTTCTTCCTTCAACTGTTTTTAAAAATTCCTAATTTCATGAAATTTCATTATAATCCTCATTTTTTTCATGTAAATTTTGTTAAAATAAAGCAAAAAAAAATTTTGGTTTAAAATTTATGTGTTTTAATGTTTTATTAAAAAACGACATTTTATAAATAATTTTATAGGCTCAAGCTAAGCAAAGAGCAGGCCGTGCAGGAAGGACGGGACCAGGAAAATGTTATCGTCTCTACACTGAGAGGTCATACAGAGATGAAATGCTGACCACTCCAGTACCGGAGATCCAAAGGACAAATCTTGCATACACTATACTGCAGCTAAAAGCAATGGGGATTAATGATTTGCTCTCATTTGAATTTATGGATGCTCCTCCTCAAGTGGTACATGCATTTATCACATTATTGATTTTTAGAAAATTTTCATATCGAAGTCTTGATTACTTTGCATTTTATATCATTTCTATGGGTTGAAATTCATCTATAGAATTACAAAAAGAAAAGATCTCAACAAAAAAAATTGATCTCTTCTTCTTACCTGTTTCTTTATGTTCTAAACTTTATTTCTTGGAGGATGTTAAAAAAAGCATTGATCTCTTAAATCACAAGTATTTGATAATTTCCTAGCATTTCTTAAGTCACTATTGAGAAAAACATAGAGTTTGGAAGTTTAAAGAACAAATTCGTAAAGAGTGCTTTAGAATAAAAAAACTATTTCATGTAAACATGAATTAAAACTTTTTAATATCTCCTCATATTTTACCAAGCCAATTTTCTATTCAAAATCATTTTGAATATTGGTGAAAATTAAGTTCTCCAGTTAAGTTTGTCTTCTAAAAGTAGCAAAGTAGTGATTACATTTCAAAAGTAGTTTGTAGTCGCTTCATTTTTTTAAAAAAAGTAGTTCTAGTTAACTACAACTGTAATAAAATAGTTGTAGTTAACTAGAAAAAAAATGTAGTTTTTACGACCACTGCGCTATGCTAATAATATGTTTTATTATTATTATTAAATATGTGGGAAGTGAAGGGAAATCCAAACAATTTATGGGCGATCTTTAGTTTATTGTCTACTTCTGATGCATTATTTGAAAAATTAAAGTACGATTGTACAAATTTTTTTAAGTAAATGTAATTAAGTAATCTGTATAATATTCATTGTCATTGTAGTCTTAATGAAATATATCAATAGAAACACAGTTATGTATTACCTGTTTTTGTTTGTTTTTTTAATTTAAAAAAAACGTTTTAATTAACCTATATTTGTAATTTCTCTAAAAGTTCCCATCAATTTATTTTAATTTCCGGAAAATATTAACTTAGAATTTTTTATTTTATTTGCAGTCTCTGATTATGGCTTTACAGCAGTTGTATTCTCTCAGTGTTCTGGATAGTGAAGGGCTTTTGACTAGACTTGGACGACGGGTAAATTAATACTTTTCATTATTGAAACAATGTTTAATGCAACTGAATTGACAAGTTAAAATTGCATTTTTTTTTCGAACTGTGCCTACTTTTTACTGTACTTTAATTCAATCATGTTATAAATGCANAAATCATGCATGTGATTCTTATTAATATATTCATGCAATTTTAAAATTAATCACGGGAATTTATAATCACATGGTTTACAAGTTTAAAAATCGCACTTTTTTGTCAAATTTTCGTGTATATATATATATTCTAGGATTTCCTCTTTTTTACTTTCTGACTACTCTCATCCCTGAATGTAGAGAAGAGGTAGACTTTTGACATTCTTACTATTAAATGCTAATGTCAATGTAAACATTCAATTATTAGAAATAATTAAAAACTAATTTTGGCATTTATTATGAAAAAATAATTCTAACTTCAACAGAAGCATTATTTTTGTTTATAACTTTAGCCAATAGACAACATGACCTCAAAAGTAACCATCTGATGCATTGATTTAATGCCGTGATAAAAGGAAGAAAATTTCATCACATTAAAATAAATTTATTTAAAAAAAATTTTAGTTCTATTTTCAGAATATGAATTTATAAAACAATTCAAGTAGTCATTCTAAAAGATTTTTTAAAGATTTTAGTTATTAAAAAATAATTTATTTAGTACTTTTGCTGTATGTTTTACTTTTAATGTCTTTAAAAAAATGGTTTGCTGTTTTAAAATTGGTTCAAATAAAATTTTTCACAAGAATGGGGGTATGGCCAACCCTTCCAAGGTTAACAATTGGAACATTTTGTAATTAATTAAATGGTTGAATTTTTTTTCTTTTTAATTGTTTGTGTTGAAAAAATATATTGCAGAGGAAAGTGTTATTCTATTTAAATGTTTTCTTTATATTGTAAATATGACTTTAATTGTTAAAGTTATGTGTGAAAAATGTTTCGCGGAGCAGCACTCTCCATTCAATTTAGATTTGTACTGCTTTTTAACTATTTGTTATGATTATGAACACAAGCTTTAGGAAAAATTTCAGTTTTGTTTCATTTGTATTTAGATGGCAGAATTTCCAATGGAACCAAACTTATCAAAGATGCTTATAATGTCAGTGCAATTGGGTTGCAGTGAAGAAATTCTTACTATTGTATCTATGTTGTCAGTTCAAGGCGTATTTTATCGGCCAAAGGTATTCATACATTTTTTAAATTTTTTATAGGCGTTTGAAATTTTTTTTCTTAACTGTGTTCTTCGTAACATTTATTAGTAATTAATTTAACTTTACTTACTGTAGAATTCTAATCAATATCAATGTTATAATTAGATATGCATTTATTGTTGCACAGCTGCTCCGCTTTCTGCAAACGAGTTTTTAAAGTTGTTGAGAATTAATTGTACAGTAAAATTTGCAGAATTTTGTTAAACTTAAAAAACACTTTAAAATCTTCGCCATAATATAATTGGAGAAGTATAAAATTTTGTAGTCTTGGTTAAAATTACTTTTAATTAAATATACTAAACTGAAAGTTAAATATTAAAATATTTTGCTACCACTGAAAAAAATTAACAAGGCGAAGTTGGCATTTCTGATTACAAATCAGAGAAGCTCATAAATTTGTTTTTTTTTTTTCAGTGGGCTACAAAAACTGAAACTTGCAATTATGGCAAACATTAATGTAACTTTGTAATTGTAAAAATTAATGAAATATATAGATTACAATGCAAATTAGTATGATAAATTTATAGTTTTACAAAAAAAAATAATAATCACTATTATTCCAAAGATAAACTTTGTTATTAAAATAGTGTCAAATTAATGTGATGGTTGTCATTTTAATTTCAAAATTATAATTTTTGTTTCATCTAAAGTTTTTGTAATTTTCTTTCTTTGCTAGATTATTTGTACTTTTACACAGAACCCCTTACCATGAACCAAAATTTGCGTAACAAAAATGCTCTCCAATGCTCAGAGAAAGACTCTGAGCTAGATCAGTTACTTTTAGTTACAGAGTTAAAGGTTTTAATTACAGAATTAAAATTTTAGTTACTGAGTTTTTAGTTTAAGAGATTTTTTTTCCTGTTATGTTTTTTTCTTTTCTTTCTTTTAATATATTTATTAATGTAAGGAAATAAAGGGGCCATGTTAATAAACTTTGGAGCTGATTTAATTACTGTAAAAAAATTTCTGCTACAGACAAGTACAATGAAACCTCTAGGAGAGACCACCTCTGTGTAGTGACCTCCTCTATTTGCGACCACTTTTGGGAGGCACTGAATTTTTTCCATAGACTATGCTGAAGAAAACCTTTGGGAAAAACCTTCAAAACCTCTCGCAGCGACCGGGCAGACCTCCGCACCAAATGAGGAAAAGGTCAAATAAAGAAACACCAAAAAATTTAAAAATAAAAAATTTTAACAAAGCAAATGAGTATAGATTCAAATGTGTTCCAAATATTTGTTAAGAGCTTTTATTTAGAGAGCTTTTTTCGACCAATGAACGAGACAGTCAACCTTATGTTACCGTCAGAGTGCACTAAACACTGTGCTATCAATTATTTCGTTACAACAGTTAAATTAGGAGAAAAAAAAAGCCATTTTAGAATATATAAAACATTTCAAGCAAACAAACCACCCATTAGTAAGCAAATTAATTTTTTATATAAAATTAAATACGAACTTGAAGAAAAAACATAATTTTTGTTGAAAGTTATGTTTATATATTTAAAATAGGTCTATCATTCATAATTGGTTAATTTCTTTTTTTTAAAAAATTATATCTGTGGGGGTTCATTTTTAATTTTATTCATTAAACCGGTTTTCATGAAGCCAACACAAGTTGCGTTTCTGTACCCTGAGAATGACACTGGGTAAAATTGAAGTCGATGGAAGTAACCCCTAAGTATGATCAACCTCTATTAGCGACCATTTTACTGTGGGATAGAGATTGATCGCTCCCGAGAAATTTCACTGTATGCAATTTTTTTTTAATTATTTTTTTTCCCTTCTGTTAGGACAAACAAGCTTTAGCTGATCAGAAAAAAGCCAGATTTCATCAGCCTCAAGGAGATCACTTAACTTTGCTGGCAGTGTACAATTCTTGGAGCAACAACAAATTTTCCAAAGCATGGTGTTATGAAAATTTCATACAATTTAGAACACTACAAAAGGCTCAAGATATTCGCAAACAGCTGTTGGGGATCATGGATAGGTTGGTAATATTTTCTAAATTAGTGAAACAAAATCATAGCGGAATTTACTTTATTTATAACCCGAGGCATTTGGTTTCAAATATGAAAATAAAAAATTTAACGGAACGAATAAGTAGATTAAAATGTATTCAAAATATTTGTGTGAAGCTCTTATTTAGAGAGCTTTTTTGACAATACAACCTTACGTTGCAGTCAGATTGCTTTAAAGATGATGCTATCAATGATTTACTTCTGAAGTTAAACTAGAAAAAAAAGTTTGTTTAGAAGAAACAAGCCTCTCAAACAAACAAACCTCTTCTCATTTTTAAAGCTAACTAATTTTTATGATTTAAAATTAAAAGCAAACTTAAAACAAAAAATGTAATTGTTTATTTATTTAAAATAGCTTTATCATTCATAATTGCTAAATTTGTTTTTGCACATAATTATATCAGTTCAGATCACTTTTATAGGCGCTAAATTTTATTCATTGATCCGTTTTTTCATGACGACAACAGAAGTGGCATTATCGCACGTAGAAAATGACACTGACTAAAATTAAAATCGTTTGTGAAAAATCATGTACCTTTGATAACAATTTTGAAGTTAATGGAGGTAAGAACCAACAACTTCCATTAACAACCCATTTACCGTGGAACGGGTCGTTCCCGAGAGGTTATACTGTAGTTACAAGAGTTAATCAATGCCCGCAAAAGGTTTTTTAATATAGATTTTGTGTTCTCAAAGTTTTTCATTTTATCTTACTTTGCTTGTAATAGTTTCCTTCCTTAATTATTCTAAAATATTAATTTTAGGCATAAATTTGATGTTCTGTCCTGTGGTAAGAAAACAGCTCAAATTCAGAAAGCTATCTGCAGTGGATTTTTTAGAAATGTTGCCAAGAAAGATCACCAGGATGGTTACAGGACTCTTGTTGATGGTCAAGTTGTTTACATCCATCCATCCAGTGCCTTATTCAACCGAGAACCTGAATGGTAAGAACTACATGTGCATATTTCAATTTTATGTCTGTGACTGTTGGAAAAGGGGGAGGGGGAAACAAATATTCTAATTGTTAAATTTTGGAGAAAGTTAAAAAATTCAAATCATAGTATCTGATTTTACAGTAACAAATATAGTTTAGTTTTATTTTGATGAATTTTAAATATATAAATGTATTTGAGTCAATTCTGAAGTAGCCTCAAATGTGCTTTGCTGCTTATCTGGTTTTCTGCTACTACTAGTAATTATGTTTCTGCTTTCATATTTATTGAAATTTACTTCTAAGTCACATACAGCTTATTACTTTTTTAAATACATATTTATTTTCAAATAAGTTGAAACTTTTTTTAGCAGTGCAAATATATTTTAAAGATAGGAAAATGGTAAAAAAAATGAATAAATTAATAGAAAAACAAAAGTTATTAAAAGCAAAAATTAAAAAAAGCTCATACCTTTTGCTGTTTGAATTTGAACTACTGCTATTACCACTTAACGCAGATTGAATCTAGCTGAAACAAAAAGTAGTGCTAGTGCATCTTTTCTCTATCTCTTGTGAGAAGACTTATGACAGTTAGGTAGTAAATTTAAGCTTGGTTAGGAACTTAAATCTGTTTTGAACTTGAACTAATACCAGCTTTTTATTTTATGAAATTGACTTGTTCTGAAAAAGATTAAATAGAAATATTCATAATTTTCATATTTATAGGAATTTACTTTTTTTCTTCTTCCAAAGTATATTGTTTTGACCGTTTGTAAACATTTTATATTAAAATTATTATTCTTTTTTATTTTAAAAAATCATTATTAAAAAATATCGAATAAAAAAACGTTACAGTGTCTTCCTTTGAGATATGATTGAAAAGTAGAATGTTGAATGGGAACAATATAAAATAAAAAAAAAATTTTTATCAAAAGTCCAGAAAGGTTTTAGAGCTGCAAGAAGCTCCTTCCACATCATAAAAGCACAGCAATATTGGTAAAAACAGGGAAGATACAGGACAAATGATGTAAGCAAAAGAAGAACAGTCAGTTTTCTGTTGCTAAAACTGCATTTTGCATCCATGCAAAGCAGGTCCTGATTTTCAATACATTATATGCATGGTTGTACATTATATGCATGGCATTATATGCATACTTGCTTAAACAAAAGTTGTACTCTTGCTGTATTTGATTAAATTTTCATCCCTCCCCCAACATTTTGAAATGCTAGCCAAAGTTAAATTGAGATTATTATTTATTTCAAAAAAAAATTTTCTTTATTAGGATAGAACAAAAGATAAATAATGGTGGAATAAAAAAATGAGTAGAGATATGAAGAGCTTTAGAGAAAATTAGTGGTTTATTATTCAATGATTGGTGTAAAAAGATGTACAAACGTAGCTGTTATTTTTATTTTGTTTGCTGTGAAAAAATTAATGTTTTGGAAAAAATAATTAAATCATTGTTTTAATGTATGAGCCATTGTTTTGGTGAGGTACATTTTGGAGGCAGTGAGTGAGCTGTAAATTTCTGAAAATTCTGGTAAACAACGCTAGAACTTGTTAATTGGTCAAAAAAATAAGTCTCGAAATTTTTTTATTACAGTGGCACCCATGTATATGCGATTTTTAGCATTGTCTTCACCATTTTGTTTCCTAAATATGATTAAGTTAGATGTCTATTTTTAAGATAAAAGAGATTTCACTGTAAAGAAGAAGAAAAAAACATTTTAAAATGTTTAAATTGTTATTTTGTTGTATTTTTGGATGTAATATCATAATTTATAGTTTAAAATATTTCCAATTACAAAACATTTTTATTTTTCACACAGGGTTATTTATCACGAAGTAGTTCAGACTACTAAGGAATACATGAGAGACGTAACAGCTGTCGATCCGAAATGGGTGGTCGATTTTGCACCGGCATTCTACAAATTTGCTGACCCGACTAAACTGAGTGCACAAAAGAAACAACTCAGGTTGGAACCCTTGTACAACAAATATGAAGAACCTAATGCTTGGAGGATATCTAGAACCAAAAGAAGAAGAAACTAAAAATATTCACTTTTACCTTTTGTATTTGTAAATTGTAAATAGGCAACAATTATCATTTTTATACTAATTTAATTAAAGCAATGTTTAAAAACATGTCTTTATTTCATTTCTTTACTAAACTCCACAATATGTGGAATCTTCAATTTTAGTCTTAAATAAATAATATGGGGGGGAATAGTTAATATTTGGGATTGATTTAAGGGCTATTGCCCATCCTACAAGAATTTTCTGGTTACGTCTGTTTGCCTCGACCAGACTGTGCAGGGATCAGGGAAGTGGCCTTGCATCAGAAAGGTTCTGCGTTCGAATCCCGGACGAGGCATGGGTGTTCTTTCATTCTCTGTGTTATCTGTCTTGACTGTGGGAGCAACGTTGGCCCACCTATTATGGTGCCCCTGAAAAAGTGGTCAACAAATCTGCCCTACATTGGCGAATGTCAACCCAGGTGGGTATCGGAAAGAAAAAAAAACTTGTATGTTTGCAAAAGAAAGAGCCTGTTAAGTTGTAGAATAACATTCTAACATCAAAAATTTAAAGCGCAGAGAAAGATTAAAATTAAAGTTTTATCGCTAATGCTAGGTCATGTGAAAAAGCTACAAAGCGGCTAAGGGGCTTTTTGCCATGCAGTATGTAGCATTCTTCTGTTGTCTTATAAGCTTAAGTTTTATAATGAATTTATCGTTTTCTAGTAGTGTTTTTATAATTAGATTTAAGAAATTCTCTAATTGTTAAGTTAGTTGTTTTAGTTTAATCTGATAAAATGCTCAAATGTTTTTCTTTTTTGATGTCTTGTTTTAATCTATTTTTTTTTTGGGGGGGGGGGATCTAGAATAATGATTCAAGTAAAATATTTTATGTTTATTTTTTCTTGTTAAGTCAATTTTTAAGTTGAATCACTTCTCAAAGTCAAAACCTGTCCTTACTCTATGACATACAGGAGTGATTGTTTTCTGGTTGTATCTCGGAATTTCGGGGATTTTGTATAAAAGTCTTCTGCATATCAAAATTAAGGGCAGGAATTCTGCGTTTTCGGACTTCCACTAATCAAACTTAGAATCCGCAATCTAAAATTTAAATTTTGGAAAAACTTTCGCTAAAACCCGTAAACGTTTACATACATGTGATTTTGGCCGTTGAGCCGATTTTCACCATTTTGAATAATTGGAAATGAACCGGAATCCGCTTACATCGCTACTCTTATTCACGTGATTAAAAAATTTAATATCGTGATTTGCGCCTACGCGTTTTTATAATCAGTTTCCCGTTTTATATTCACTCATTTTTAAAATACAATATTGCTATTTGTGTTCGCATGTTTGTAATATCAAACATCGATTTCGTATTTATACATAATTTAAAAGCTACTCATTGCGACTCATATTCACGCAATCTGAAAATCATGCATCGCGATTCATATTCACTTGTTTAAAAAAAAATATCGTGATTCATATTCACGAATTTTTAAAATCCATTATCGCGATTCACATTCTTTCTACTTTAAAATCCATTGCAGCGATTTCTGTTCATACGACATTAAGATTCAATGTCACGATTTATATTCATGTGATTTTAAAATCCAATATCGCTATTTATTATTCATATTCACGCAATTTTTAAAAATCCAATATCATGATTCTGAGATTTTTCTTAACTTATTTACTATAAAGGTGTGATATTCTTTATTTATAGGTAATTTAATTATTAATCTTATTGCAAGAAATAATGTTAAATATGTAGCATGTATGTTATATAAATTAATATCCTGATATATATTTTTAGCAAATAAAATTTTCAGTTTTTTTTTTAATTTGTGTCACAATCACCCCTGAACATGACCCTTTTTTACAATAGTTTAATCTTGTGACCATAGTTACAAACTCTTGACCAGTGGTCTCTAAAGATGTCCCGTGAAGCCCTAGAGTTTCATGGTAGGATCACAGGGATTCCGATACTATGGACTTTTCTCTCAGTAAATATATTGTAATTTTTTAAGATTATTTATTATGATTCATTTTACCTCTGGTTATTTATTGTTAATTTGGTTAATTTTCATTTGAGGTAAATGACAGTGAAGAAGGATATTGCTAAATTTAAGTAAATAATTTTTAGTAAGTAAATAATTATTAAACTAAGTAAAATTTATTTGGTAATTTCTTATGATTATTTTTTTCAATTTACCCCAGGTTATTTATTATCAATTTGTATAATTTTTCTTTTGAGTGGAATATCAGTGAAGAAGAAAATTGCGAGACTAAGTAAATAAATAAAAAAAAAATTTAATAAAAGTATAAAAAGGATATGCCTGTATTGTATTAAAAAAATTACATAAATATTTTCCATCGAACTTTTCAATTCATAATAAATTAATAAAATTCAACAGTAAAGAAACACGTTTATTACAATTCTTATTCTTCACTCACCAGAAACAAATTCGGAACCAGAAAGCAAAAATATTCAGAACCGTCTGACGTAAAACCAAATTTCAAGACATATTGATAAATGAAAAAAAATCTCATGCTTCACATGAAATGTTTTTTTTATTTTTTAAACCTGGTGGACTATCGGTAATTTAAAGGGAGGATCGTTTCCACACTAAGAAATCGGTTTTTTAGACTATAAGGAAATGCTCGCTGTCAGCAACCGCACAAAATGAGAATAGCGGAGATCTCGAATGAGCTAGGTAAACAATACGTTGGCGAGCGAGATTATGCAACAAAAAAAAAAAAATCTAGTAATATGTTTTGTTTGAAATGCTATGTTTTGTCCCACCGAGAAAATTATTTTAAAAAAAAACTCTTTATTATGCTTCTCGATACAGCACAATCAGACGACAACTCCATTTGTAAGTTTAAATTTTAGTGTCAAAATCACCTGGATATGATNAAAAAAAAAAAAAAAAAACCTGCTTTTCAGAGAAAAATGTAGTGAAATGTTTTGTCCCACCGAGAAAAAATCATGATTAAAAAAAAAAGTCTTAACTATGCTTCTCGATACAGCACAATCAGACGACAACTCCATTTGTAAGTTTAAATTTTAGTGTCAAAATCACCTGGATATGATCTACCATACAGTAATAAAATTAATCATTCGTTAACTGCAATTAAATGTCTAAATATTCATCTATGAAGTACACATCGTGGAGGCCCACAGAGAAGAACCAAGAGGGGCAAGTCATCATAGCCATTTGTCAGCTTTATAAATGTAATGTTTAAGTTCGTTTTGAATGTTTAAATGGGTATTTTTAAAATCTTATTTTGGAAGAGGATATTTTTTCAATAAAATTTTTAAGTTTTCAACGAATAACTGTGCAATCACATAGAATAACAGATTAGGAACATATTTATAACAAATGGTTTAGTTGGACGATAGCAGGAATTGTTTTGCGTAGGGGGCTATTTTTAAGAATCAATTTATAACTTCACAATGACAAGAAATAACAAATAAGAGAAGCATATTTATGATCAGTTATTTAGTTGGAACGAAATTATAAGTTTTATTACCCATTGGCAAAATGGGTGTTGTTTTGGGTTGGATGGCGTGCGCGCCTTATTTGGACGTCATCACACTTTTCAACTGTGTTCAGGAGTAAAAGTAAACAGTGCGCATGCGACCGCTGCTGTTTGATAATTTTTTTTAGAATTCTTTTTTGAGAAATCCCATAAATACTTCTTGATTTGTGAATAGAAGAGAATTTCATCATTTCAACGATATTTTTGTTTTTATTGTTAAAATTAATAATCAGAAATCAAACTGGTTCGTTTTCAATATTAATTCAGGTGAATATCACAAATAGAGAGGGTCCCAAACTGATTGTCGCGGTCTCAAAGGTTAGAGTTGAAGCAAGAAAATTAAGCAAGGTTTCACCAATGAGTTACCCGTGATCGCCTTCCCTCGATCGCAATTTTTTTTTTATTTATTTACTTCTGTAGATACTTTTTTACTATCTTCTGAAAGTTGTTATGTAACTAAAAAATTAATTAAAGAAAAAAAAAACGCGTATTTTTGTTGACTGCTGAAATAAAATGTTGTTTGAAGTTGGGCTGATGGACCTTCAGATTTTTTTAAAAAAATTTTTTTATTGTTATTTACGATTTCCAATCAGGGCCGGATTAACCTATAGGCACACTAGGCACGTGCCTACGAAAAAATTCGGAGAAAAAAATTTTTGACAAAAATAATTTAGCTTTAAAAACAACAAGTGTATTTTGCACAAAATTATGAAGATACAAATAAAAATATAATATTTTTCGGTAATAAATTATTTTGCAGAATCTTATGATATAATATATTACTTTCTTGCGATTTTTGGATTCAACGAAATCTTGTACTAAATGTAAATTAATCTTGTATGCAAAATGTCGTATTCAAATTAAAATCCATATTATGTAAAATGTAATAAATATAAAAGAAAAATATGCAAGAAAATTTTAGCATATATTTTGAAAAGAGGGAAGGAGGGGAGGGCCCAAAAACGGCTGTGCCTAGGGCCTACGAAAGGTATAATCCGGCTCTGTTNTTTCAACGAATAACTGTGCAATCACATAGAATAACAGATTAGGAACATATTTATAACAAATGGTTTAGTTGGACGATAGCAGGAATTGTTTTGCGTAGGGGGCTATTTTTAAGAATCAATTTATAACTTCACAATGACAAGAAATAACAAATAAGAGAAGCATATTTATGATCAGTTATTTAGTTGGAACGAAATTATAAGTTTTATTACCCATTGGCAAAATGGGTGTTGTTTTGGGTTGGATGGCGTGCGCGCCTTATTTGGACGTCATCACACTTTTCAACTGTGTTCAGGAGTAAAAGTAAACAGTGCGCATGCGACCGCTGCTGTTTGATAATTTTTTTAGAATTCTTTTTTTAGAAATCCCATAAATACTTCTTGAGTTGTGAATAGAAGAGAATTTCATCATTTGAACGATATTTTTGTTTTTATTGTCTTAATTAATAATCAGAAATCAAACTGGTTCGTTTTCAATATTAATTCAGGTGAATATCACAAAGGGGGTCCCAAACTGATTGTCGCGGTCTCGTTTGAGTTGAAGCAAGAAAATTAAGCAAGGTTTCATCAATGGATAACCCGTGATCGCCTATCGCAATTTTTTTTATTTATTTTTGTAGATACTTTTTTACTATCTTCTGAAAGTTGTTATCATATAACTGAAAAATTAATTAAAGGAAAAGAACGTGTATTTTTGTTGATTGCTTAAATAAAATGTTGTTTGAAGTTGGGTTGATGGACCTTCAGATATTTTTCATTTTTTTTTATTGTTATTTACGATTTTCAATATAATATGTTCACAACTTCTTTTTTAATATCAGGATTTCGGAAAGAACCTAAATTTGTATGGTTCCAAGAAGATTTGTCTAGAAAGTTGATGTACAGTCAAAATCGTCGATAACGACCCTGATTTAGCGTTTCGGAAATACTTGGTTGGAACAATTTATGACTTATACAGTATAGCTCACTTTTAACGATTTAATTTCGATTTTAGCGATCGATATTTATGTGATTCATAAAATTTCTACTTATATCCACTTCTCCAGTTCACTCCTTTCTTGGAAAAATTCCTTCTTGAAGTTTTTCGGGTCGACGATATACTTTTTGATGTCGACCCTTTTTTTTTTCGGTCGCAAATCTTATGCGACGAACGAAACAGCAAAGATACAAGAAGACAGTTCAGCAAATTAACTTCTTTTGTACGGTACAAGGAAATAAATTAAAGTGCTATATAACAATTTACTAAGTACGTCTGAAATTTATGCTTTTTCACAAACTCCTTTTTTACGTGCTATGGTTGTAACGAGCAAATATTGTGGTTCCTTCATGCTCGTTATGAGCGATTCAGTTTTTTAATAAAAAGCTTTTCTGTTGCAGTACGCTGTGAGGCAATACCAACAAATTGCCGTATTTTCGTATATGTATGAGTGAATTTATTATTTCGAAGCAGGCATCTTTCTGTAAATTCGTTTATTTATGAACCCTTTACCTGTTTTAATGCTATTTGCTTTTCTATCCCTCTTTGCTAGCATGCATAAGAAACAAAATACGTCAGAAACAGGAGAAAAACCATGCATTAAACCGAAAAGTAACAGTCCGTCAGCAACAGGGTGCACAAAATACCATATCGCGTAATATGTCAAAAGAAGTTGTTTTAGGTTAAAATTTCAATTTGTGTTTTCTTGATATTGTTTTGATTTTAGCAAACTTTTAATGATGTAATATTATTAGGCATCATAGTACTTTTTTTTTAAAAAAAGAAGAAAATAAAGGGGTTGATTTATTTAGATTAGAAGAAATAGCACTTGATAATTTTTAGAACTTCTATGGAATTTTCCTTAAAATTTTAAAGCAATAAAATGATGCCTAAGTAATTTTAAACTACACATTTCTCGATCTTTAGATTTAAGAAAAAAATTCTTTTATCGTTAATTGCCTAAAAAAAAATACTCATCAAAAATCTAAAAACAGACTTTTGTATACTATTTAACTACCCATCAAAAACTGCGGATTGCAGAATTGTATTGATATAATTTTGCTCAAAAAATGAATAGAGAAACCTTAAATACCGCACGCTTTACATCTAAAATTGTGATTGTGCGACGGCCTTGCATTTTACTTTTATCGCAAAGATTAAAATAATATAATAACTGCCAATGTAATTTGTAATCAAATACCTGTTTAATTGTGAAAATTAAATATCCAGTATTAATTTATTTTATTTTATAACTGTCGTTGAACAGCCGATCCCATGTTTGGGACAACTGCTAGTGTCCAACACCTAGCTTTATAATTTTGAATTAAATCCAGAAGACAAGGGAACTCCTGGATTAAGCATTGTTTATAAATTTGCCTTTCAGGTGGAGTTCACCCGAATTTGCGTTACATGGAGAGGAAAAACACGAAAATATTTATTTGTGAAAGTATCAATATCAGTTTATTTGTGAAAATTAAATAAAATGAATTAAAAGCATATTTAGAATTTTTACTTCCAGTCTCCAGCCCTTCGACAGTTGAGATTGGTCCAGAGAGGAGGAAGAGACTCTCAACGGGTTAATAACAAATATATTTTTCTTATCCTTTTTGTAAAGAAACTTTTTTTAATGATAGTGGATTGTTATCATAAACAAATACATATGTTTAAAGATTATATTCTGACTACCTCGATAATAAAATGCAAAAATACTAAATACCAATATGGCGATTCCCTAGTTTATTGACACATGCTTGTTTCCAGCATCAAAACAACTGTATAGCTCATTTTTTACATGCCATGTTTTATGCTGCTTTGAGTTGTTATACATAAGTATTTGATAATAAAATAATAACTCAACTAAAATAGACCACAAATGATTACATAATAAAATTCTTTTTATTAATAACATTAAAATAGCTGTACATTTTTTTCATTACCTTTTTTTTTACAAGTATTATTACATAGAAACATTATACATTAGTTAACAACAATAGTAGTAATGCATATTTCTTTACAAGAGAGGAATTTCTGTACCGCCAATATTTATTTTGACAGTACAAGGAAAAATGAGATCATTAGCTGATGCTACAGCAATAGCATATTTATTCGTGTATACATAAATATATGAAATATCAATTCAAAAATTTGTTATACACAGCATTATTCACATTTATGTACACTTTCATAGACCTGGCATTTCCTCTTTTGTACAATGAAAATTTAATTACTGTTTAAAAACCGTATGAAATTATAAATGAGTCTTATGCATAATGATTGTTAAAATATTAATAATTATTCGTCAAACCAAAAGGTGATCGTTCTATATTAATTTCTAGATTTTTTATATATTAAAGACGATGAGTTAAAACTAATACTACTTAAAAACTCGACAACTCACTGAAAAATATTAATTTTATATAATGATGTTAATCAAAATATTGATTTTAAACTTTAGGGTGAGGTATTTAAGAGAAATTATCACTATTAATAATTAGTATAATTACAAATTTGTTTAACATTATTCTATTATTTTTTAGCAATAATGAAAAAATAGTAGTTAATTTACATTATAGATTAGGTTAACTATCACTTTTCCTTCTTAAAGAAACTTAATAACTTGTCTTTTTCTAAAAGAACAGAGGGCATTAAGAAGTTTTCGTTTCATTGTCTATCAAATTACAAGAATAGAAACTAAACACTACATACTTTATTACAACATAATCTTTCTTTCTATTTAAATTACAAGATATATATACAAATATGATTTTGATTAAACTTTTCAATAATAAAATAATTTGGAGAAAAAAATTGAAACAATTTATTACAAAATTTTCTCTAACTGATCCATTTCTGACATGCTGCATTTCAGAAAAAGACAACTCCGCACATATATATATTACATTTGTCTCCAGAGAGTTCGTTTAATTTATGAAAAGAAATTCAGCATTTGCATTAGAGAAGAGTTAAAAAGGCAGAATTATATCACATGCATCTTTGGTTAGTGGCCTGTGACAACCTATAAAGAAAGAAAAAAAAGAACACTTATTAATATATATTTCAAAAGAAAATATAAAAAATCAATATAAAATATGAAAAGGAAATATATGCTTTATTCTCATTGTTTTGCTTTAAATCACTACATTGCTTCAAGTCAACAATTTACTACTATTAGTTATTTTACAATTATTAATTGTTTTAATTCACGCTATTTCATTTATACAATTTATTAGTCATTTCACAGTCACAATATTCCTTCTTTTTTTTCGAAATGAAATAATTTACCTAATTAACAAATGTATAGTCAACTTAGTCACGAAACAATGCATACGAATAAAGAAAAACAACGTGCCACTTAAAAGTCCACATTTGCGCCATTATTTGTATTTTATTCGCGTTGTTTTTCTTTATATCACTGTATTGCCTCAAGCCAATAATTTACAATTCTTAGTTGTTTGAATTCCTGTAATTTCATTCATAAAATTTATTTATTAAATATTATTTTTTTCAATTCGCGTAAAGGCGAAATCTTTCAAGATTCGCCAAATCGACAATTGTGTAAGTCAAATTAAAATTAGCCCACGAAAAAAAAAAATTAAAGATTTAGAAGTCAACGCTTGATACAGTTGGAAAACGCGATTTTTCGGTCAGGCACCTGCATCAAAATCCACCCTCTGAAAATGTAAGTGACAAAAAAAAAAAAAAGCTTGAGGATAAAAGTAGGGGGGCTTCACTGCCGTACCAGCTGTTCCTCCATCCCGTCTCGGCCGCATCCGTGAATCAAGGGAGAGAGAGACAGAAAACAGCTGAACGTGGAAGACTGGACAAAGATATCGCTCCATACAGGAAAGCGACCTTGCGGGACGCGCGTTAGTACGTTCACTTCCGGTACGTTACGGGGATGTATTCGAAGAGCGAATTAAAGATATTCATTCTCCCCCCTCATCCAATTTTCTCACGCTGCGATAGAAGCACGAGTTGGTGCGATACACATGTGTTTTTTGAGGTAAGAGACCTGCATGGAAAGGAAAGCACAGGAAAAAGGGTGCAGTAAGGGGAAGTTACAGGTACGGAGTGGGAACATGTCCCACATAAAACTCTAATAAAAGTTCGCTTTTTTATAGTCTGATTTTTTTTTAAAATTTCTTTTCGTTTATTTGGTTGAAGAAATAATTGAAAGACTTGCAACAAAACAATGCTTTTTTTTTTTTAGTAATAAGAATTTATTTTAATTGAAATAATAATTTAACGAGCCACATTTGCTAAATGATATCAAAAGATTTATTTTCGACTCCATGTAGAATTAAGAATATTTATATATAATTTCGGTAATTTTTCTTAAGACTTGTCTTTGCTTTGGAAGTAACATCATGTAAAGGTAAAAAAAAATAAATTAAAATATGATATTTGAAAATTAAAATAATAAAATATATGTTTTATTATACTAAGTTATTTCTTTCACAGCTCCTATCCAAACAATATATTACTACATATTTGATTTTTACTTAATTTGTCCTCAAATAAAAAACATCTTGAAGTTTAAGCAATCTTAATTTAAAACTTATTCCAGCCTGGCCAAATAAAAATAATTAAGACAAACATTAAATTGAAATTAAGTAATAACAAAACAATTATGTAGAGAGAGTTTTGTTTATGCACCTTCTTAATAAATACACTGTTAAAAAAATTTGTTTTCTTTTATTTTATAAGAAACTGAATTATAAAAGGGAAACAATTCATGATTGAAAGCCATACACTGGATTGAATTAAAAATACCAATTTCTCTTTTATAAATTTCAAGATTTTTTTTTCAAAAATCGACTGTTTTTCGTATTTCGAAATTGATAAGGTTACAATTTTTGAAAATATTCTATGATCTGTATAATACTTTACATTATTTATTTTGAAATGATTTTATTGCTACTTTAATTTAGCAAACTGCATTTAATATTAATTAAGATAATATTTTTAGAGTTAGTAACAATAAGAAAAAGGGGGCAACAAATATACCAAAATTGATAATTACAATATATAATGTCGTTATGTAAGATAGCCTCTCATTTAAAATTTTTTGAATAATTTAAAATTAATTAATTTGATTTACTTTAATATTGATAGTTTCACAATAAATATTATGTTTTAACTAAGACTTGTCATAAAACTAAGTGAATAAAAAGTATAATAGTTTTAAAACCTCCAGATTTCGTTCTTATTTTAACCTTCTATAAATATGAAATAATATAAAAAAAGAACTAAAATTGGCAGTTCTTCAAAGTTTATATAGGGTCAAGAGAATGACAGATAAGAAAAGGGGAGGGAAAAAAAAGCCTCTATATTTTTGGAATAAAATACACCTGCATGTAAGTACTATCTCTCCCCCCCCCCCAAATGAACTACCTGTACATCGATAAGGGTACAGCAGGAGAATGGTAAGAAAAACCGTGTGAGCAAAATCTTAAGCTCACCTGATTCACGATTTACCCCATTTCCGGGCTGGTTTTGCTTTCGATAAAAATATAAACAAAAACCGAAAACGGAAAAAAAAAGTTTTACTACGCTACGTTACGATAGTAGTATCGTACTCTATTAAGTAGTAACGTACTCACACGGGTTTCCCCAATCGTATCCCTCTCCCAATTTTTTATTATTTTTTTTTTTTTTTTCAGATCGTACCCCACGACCTTCAAATCACCTACATGTTGAGACGCTCTCTTTCAAAATTTTCCCATGGTTTTTTTTAAGGTTACGTAAACTTACGATTTCATTTTTTTTTTTTAATTTTAAAATTAAGTCACAAATCTTAAAGTAACTAAAAAAATAACACAATTTCTGTAGTATAATAACAAACTAATTCATATATTTGTTGTTGTTAAAAATATTAATTTCTTATCAATATTAGTTATCCATATTAATTTGTTATTTACTGTCCATTTTCATTAAATTTTAACAAATATTTTTTAATGGCTATTTTGATTGGTTTTAGAAATGAAAACGTTAAATCTAACAAGAAAATGAAAAATAAATGATTAAATATCATCTATATGTCTATATTTAAAGGATTAGCAGCGCAATTTTTACCGCAATTAAAAAAAAAAAAAAAAAAAAAAAAAAAAAAAAAAAAAAAAAAAAAAAAAAAAAAAAAAACTCTAGAAAAATGAACAAAAATAAATTTGAATAATTTGCTAACATTCTTTCGCAATAACCTTCCAAAAAATTGTTAGTTCATTACAGTGCACGAACCACTCTTAATAGGTGGTTTCAACACTGAAAATTTTTATCAAGTCAACTGACTCGATCAAGCCATTAGTATAAAATAAAAATAAGTTATTTCCAATTACAAAGAAATGTGTAATGTCATCCGGCATCATTAAAATTCATCTCGTAAAAATAGAAAGCCATCATCCCATTGGCACCACAAATGAATAAGTATATAGATGACTATCGAAAGTCTTTTCGTTTCGGCCTCTTGGCAGAGAAGTGGTTTTTACACGGCGACCGACACTTGAGAACTACTCTTCGGCGCCCGTTACAAGTTTTAAATTACGTCGGTGTAACGTTAGATTCAAAAAACACGTTTGACTTCTTTGTAGTGCATGCCTTATTATTAACGGCATGCTTTAAAATAATAATATTTCCCTAATATTAATTAATAATGACGAGGAAAACAAGATAACTATATTTAGAATTTCGCTACATTCAAACAGAAAATATCGATTTTTAAAACAGCCATTACCTGAATAGCGAGATAATAAATGAAAACAGGAGAATAATTTTAGGAATTTTCCTGAACCCTTTATTATCACGTCATATTACGGGAGTAAAATATGTATGACCTAGTAATAAAGGAAACAGGTACAAGAAGAATGTAAAAAAATAAGGATTATTATTTTAAACTACCTTTTATTATTCTGTCTATAATTAAATGATAATAATGACAAGAAAAAAATACACCCTATCTACTTCATTCAAACCGGTAATATCCACGTAAAAATAGGCATTCACTAAACAGAGAGACAGAAGAAAGAAGTAAAATTTTTCAAATTCTAAAAATTTTTTATCAGGTATTTATTTTATCAGGATGATAAAAAAGGGAGACAAATTTAAAAAAAAAATTTCTAAGTACATATTTTTTTGTTTCATTAATGTGTTTCCTATGAGACAAACTTTAGCTTATTGCATTACCTTTTAAAATACAACTCTAGTATTGAATAGACAATTGCAACTACAAGTATTAAATGAACGGCGGCAAGTATTGAATTCGCCGTTATGTTCCAACAAACAAATAATTATCTTTTGAATTTATGAAGGGGAGAAAGAAAGGAAAAAAAAGATATTAAAAGCAGAAAAGAGAACTGTAAAAACAGTGTAACAAGCCTGATTAAATAGCATGCATAAAGAAACAGGGTATCAAATAGGACCTGGAACCAAGGTCCTGCTGGTTGTGAAAGTGGCAGGTGAGCCAATATTAAAAGTTAACCACAATTCTTTTTATTATGGTTTCAGAAACACTAGACGAACCTAAAACAAACTATACATTTTCCTCATACAACTAGAATTCGTTATTTTGTGCCGTTTTGAATAATGGTTATTTGCACAAGCTGAAAGTTTCAAAAATTATTTTTTCCCATAACATGATTATTTTTTGAAAAAGTTTTGGGTCTTACTGCATGGATGAGTTGTGATTAATAGTAGCATTCTAAATTTACAATGTGAATTATCATTCATTAATGAAAATTTACATAATTTAGAAAATATTGTGTAAAACGTGATTGCTGCGTTTAAGGCTCAAAGCACTTAATTTTTAAATCTTTTTGTTCAACAAAATTTCACAAAATATCATTTAAGCACAAAAGTTAAAAATTTTAAAAACGGAATAAAATAAACGACAATTTGAAGTATATTTTGAGTTTATTCCATTTTTTTTAAAATTTATTACAAAGCTAGCATATTAGATTTTAGAGATCTTTAAAAATATTAATCTAAAAGAATTTAAGGCTGTTTTTCGATGCTCTGTTGTCA